AGACCGCCGGTCTCCTACCAAGGTGGTCTGAATGTTCCGGCGGCTCAGTATGCTGCGCGCATGTGGGTCAACTCTCGGCGAGTATAGCATAGTCCGGAAAGCACACACTCGACGGACGGCTTGTGGCTCGGCAAATTGCAGTTTTTGCCATTCGTCGTCGTCACCGTCACAGACGAACAGCTCATATTATACGCCTTCTATGTCGCGTACAAGTGATGGGAAGCGACTCCGATCCGTCGTTCAACGCGAGCTCCATCGTCCTCGCGGAGCCGATGTAGGATAAGATCAACTTGGACATCGGCGGCGCTTTTCCCCGAGCGTCGTTGCACTTGTGCCGTGACGGGTAATGCAGTGTCCAACGGAAATCCGGCGAGTCCGACGATTTCTATTTGCACCACTGTCGGGATGTTCTCGGTGGCCCTATTTTATGTTACGTCAGCCGACGGTTCTTCTGTCCTCCCTGTCTGCCTGTCTCGACAATCAGCCACGACCGCGCGGCTGCCGTCCATCAACTTCCTTTTCGATTTTGAGCACGGCTTTCGGAAATACTTTACGCCGACACCGACTTTGTTCATCGAGTTTATGCTCATTTCAGATGACTATATTTTACACTAGACACAGTATACAATGACTAGAATACCAAACTTTTCAAGATTTATTTTATTACCATAGGCGTAACAATGATAACTTTAAAAAAAGTTGCAGTGGAAAATCATACGTACGTAGTATCGATTTTATGCTTTGTGAATCCATTTCTAAAGAGTAATAAACCTAAAAATGAAAAATATTATCATAATAAATCAGATAAATCATCTGTTAATCCGGTTAATATTTTTAATATTTTGTTTATAAAAGCCATAATATTCCAAAAATGTTCGTAACCACTTATGAAATAGAACTATTTTCTAAAACGTTAGCTTTTTCTGAAATAATAAGCGTCTTACGTTAAATGGATCATATCCGCTCCTATTCCGATTACCACCCGAACCGATACAAATCCATTTTAAAATATATAGTCACTACCGTTGTGCTTGCATAGATCGTAAAGATCGGTCAGACCACCCACTCTCCTCAAAGTGTCGTTTTGTGTTTATTTCGGTACTGATTTATCGTATTAAGATTAAGTTTCAGTACCTATGAACTGTGTTATACATAATAATATGAAGGACCAGATTTTTGTACATTAGTATAGACTTAGTATCGTTATAATATATTATTATAAATTAATAGAAATATAATAAATGCGAATATTCGTCTAAATATACTGCTGCAGATGTTTCGTAATACAATTCATGTAAAATGTTTACTTTACACACATAATATTCCATTTGTTAGATATTATTTAATTTACATTTTACATGGTTAGGGTTGTCAGCTGCCTTGTACAATATTTCAGTGTTGATTTATTACGTAAAATATTAATAGGTAATATTGGATAACAGATTACACATATAGGTCAACCACAGGCGCAACTAGACCTGTAATTTTGAGGGTCCACAAATTATAAAAAAATCCCAGACCCACACTCTGTATACAGGCTATATAACAGGTAAATCTGACAAATAAAAAAATTACGCTACTTCAACGTACTCCAAAAATTGTGAACAAAATATTTTGAAAAAAGTTTTTACATTCTAATGTAATTTACTCTAAAAAATATTGATATTTTAGAATATTCTAAAAAATTATCTACTTGATTTAGATAAATGTTTTTACCATTAAAATGGATCACTAAATAGATTTACAATCTGACTATTTTAAATTTTTCCAATAAATTAAAATTAAGTTTAAAACTTTCAGTATTAAAAAAGTTGTCTCTTTCTTTCAATGTACTACATAGGTTGCAAAAACTGTTTTGCGCGGGACAACATTTCCCTCACCATAGATATTTCTTGTAGAACTACCAAATTTTCACAACACGTAAAGAAGAACTTTAACTGTGTAACAACGTTTTTATTAACAGCACTATCCAATCATTTTTTATAAGAAAATGAAAAAAACAAAAACAAAAAAAAGGTGCTTTGCTGTTCAGTAGGTTACAAGTGGGTCATTGCATAATGGATGGTATTAAATTTGAATTCAATATCATATCATTGTATAAGAAAAATGATTCTGAGCGAAAACTGTTAATCAGCCTATGATATTACGAAGTATATTTGATGATACTAAGGTGAATAAAGTAATTTATAAAACCGTTGTGTAGTTAAAAATTATTATTCAATTTAAAATGTGATAAATTTGAACTTTAAATGTTTATAAAAAAAAATTGTGCTTGTATTTTTAATATTTTTCCACTGCTATTGTAAACAATATATCAGGAGCTTTTCATTAAATTTACACGCTTTTCTTCTCAACAAATAAAATTTAATTGATATTTAAAGAAAAAAATTTAAAACTGAAAATGTCCGTAAACATCTCAAAAAGAGTCAAAATATTTTCAAAATTATATGGTGTGTAGGAAATGCTAATATAAACATTCAGTGAAATTCCCATGTATCTAGTTGTGTTTTTGAATTAGGTACAACAAAATAAGGAAATCGCTACATGAGAAATCGAGTGAATATTCAATGTTGTAAAAATATGAATTTCAAACGCTCATCAAAATTAAATTTGAGTTTCTTGTAGACATTTTTTTTTTTGATAAAGGTAGACAAACTTATGAGGAATCTTGTATTACATTTTCATATTTTAGATTTAAAAAGAAAAATTTTTATGACTTTCTAAGTCTGTCTTTGAAACAATATACTAGGAACCTTCTATTAAATTGTCAAGCTTTTTTAACCAACAAATAAAATTTTATTGATATTTTCAGAAAAAAAAACTAAATAAAATGGAAACTGAAAATGTCCGTAAAGAGCTCAAAGTTACTCAAAATATTGGGAAAATTGTATCATGTACAGAAGATGAATATATAAACAAGCAGTGAAATTTTCATGTGTATACGTTCATTTGTGTAGTGTAACAACAAAAACCAAAATCGATTTTTTCGAAAACAGATTTTGCTTACAAATTCCCGTTTTTCCTTAATTTTTCTTTTGTTTTTCACGGCGCTTTTGAAAACTACTGTAAAATTTTTTACTTTTGACTCAAAGTACCGACTATATTATTCACTTTCTTATCAAAAAAGTTACTGTTTAAGGAAATCTGAGCATTTTTACTGTAATAAAAGGTGATGACAGACACAAAAAAAAAAATAAAAAAATAACACATTGTAAAATCAATACATTCATCGTTTCACTCAGAATATAAAATAATAAACGTTGTAACTTAGTCTAAGGAGTAAAAAAAATCTTCGACCAGTAGGTTAATATGCTTAGTTAATTAATTAATTTAAATTTAAATTTAGATGGAACTTAGTTGGGTCAATATTTAAATTTTTTTACAATTATGGAGTATGTGTAATTTTTAATTTTTTGCATTTTTAATTTAATTTGTTCGGTATCAGTAAGACTGTTATTGTATTTACACGGTTTATAAAAATACGGTGATTTATTGCCTAAAAGAGTAGTTTCCAAATTAAAAATGTTAGCATAATTTGTTATTTCTAAGTCAGTTATATTAAGTACCATTGTTATCAATTGGCTGCTGGACAATAATTTAATTATAACAGGATTTTCGTAATTTATAAAATATTCATAAGCTTTTTTTTTGTTATCCCGCTCCCTAAAAATAATACTTTTTGAAGTCAATTTCATTAAAGTTTTTTTATAATTGCATTTATTAATATCTGTATTTAATTCGAAATGGAGTATGGATGTTATTAAAATGAATGCATTGAAATGGTGAAAGACCTAAAATTATATGAATCAATACATTAGTTTAATAACTTAAAATAAGTAAAACATGTATATTTTTATGCATACCGTTGGACATTTAGGGTTTGATTTGTTTTGCCTAAGTACACATGCCACAGTTAAAACTTCATCGAATTTCAAGTATTCATTCTCAAATCCAGTATACACCATTAAGTTATCATTATCATAGGAACACAATTTAAATTAATTTATCGTTCAAAAATATAGTGATGATTGTAATAACATTTGTTTTTTAAATATATAAAAATGATAAGTTTATGATTTTACCAAAACCTGACAAAAAATGTGCATTTTTAATTCCTTTCCATGGTGTGATTTCTTGCATGGATTTATAAACTTGATACTGAACAAAAACTTTTATTGCAGATATCACATTCATATGGTTTATCTCCAGTATATGTTCTCATTTGGATTTTTAAACTTGTAGCATAAGACAATCGCAAAGACATCGCGAGTCGAAATCCTACCATAATCGTCTGAGAAATCATGAAAACAGTTTTCAAAATCCGCCATCCGAGTCCAAAACCTGATTTACTACGAGTTTCTGAAGGCGAGAGTACCCACAATTTAAGGAAAAACTGATATGTTCTCAAATGGGTATAACAATAATTGGTTTATGAGTACCTATTAATCTAATAAAAAAATCAATATTTTGTTTTATTAACAATATGAAACTTAATTTTAATTATTAATAAACTTACTTTGGAATTTATTATCTGAAAAAAAAATTGATTTTTGTTTGATTTTTGTCATTTGCAAATTGTAGTAATGCCTCTCTATTTTTTTTTACTTCGTTTCAATGCTCCTGACTTATATTTTCGTTTTTTGTCAGCGGTATTCATAGTTTAATAATGTATATAATAATATACAATAATTTATTAAGTAATTGACAATCAATAATAATTAATGAGGTGACAACTGACAACAGCCAACAGGACATAAAAATAAAACTAAACACATGAAAATTGCCATATTGGCTCCAACATTCTCCCCCCTTTGAAAGGACTCAGGCCTTTCAAAAGTAGGCACGATACATTTAACATAGAATATAGAATATAGAACATAGAATGTATATTATTGAACAAATACTAATACAACTGTGTTGGTGATTAATAATAAAAACACAATAAGCAATATAATATGCTTTTACAATAATGCATTTTTATAACGATGAGTAACGAGTGGTTAGGCTGCATCATCTTCCTCTTTGACACTGGGCAGCACTGTGATTTTGGATGTTGGACGCTGGAACTCCCTGCTATCTGAGTTAGTGATAGTGACCACACGAACGATTCCATCATCTCCAGGATGGTCCTTGGTAATTCTGACCATTTTCCACTTGAGAGATGGTGTATTGTCTTCCTTTAAAATAGCCAATGAACCGACTTTAACATTGTCCTTTTTTGACAACCAGCAACCTCTTTTGTGGAGTTGTGGAAGATATTCTCCACTCCACCTTTTCCAAAAACTTTGAGCTTGCATCTTGTCCAGGTCCCACCTTTTTACTCTGTTAAGAGGTATTCCAATACTATCAGGTTCAGCGGGTAGTGTTAAACTTCCTCCGACTTAAAAATGGCCCGGTGTCAATGCATTGAGATCGGATGGATCATCAGACATTGGAGATATTGGACGAGAGTTCAATACAGCTTCTACTCGGCAAAGCAAGGTATTCATTTCTTCATATGTGAGAAGGCCCATTGCAGTACCTTCAGCAAATGTCTTTTAGCAGATTTCACAGCCACCTTCCAGAGACCACCGAAGTGGGGTGCGGAAGGTGGTATGAAGTGCCATTGAATCTTCAGAGAGTCTTCAATTGTACTTTGTCCCCTTTCAGGTGAAAAATATTAATGTAGAACCTTGTTAGCTCCCACGAAGTTTTTGCCGTTGTCACTATAGATGTGGCTACAAGGACCCCGACGGGAGATGAAACGCACGAGAGACGCTAAAAAGGCTTCCGTGGTAAGTCCGCTGACTAGTTCCAAGTGTATAGCGCGAGTCACGAAACAGACGAATTCTGCAACATAGCATTTAATGCTGACCACTCTGCGACTTCTAATCATGGTTGTTCCACAAAAATCAACACCAGTGGCAAATTTACACTCGATATTAACTCTTTCCCGTGGAAGGGGTGCCATGAATGGTGGTGGAAGAGACGGGCTAGAACGGAAACAAATTATACAGTGTCTGACAGTCTTCCTTGCAATAACTCGACCACGAATTGGCCAGTAGCGAAGGTTGATGTTGGCTAGCGGGTTTTGCTCGCCCACCAGACATAAATCATAAATCAACGACATTTCGTTCATAAAACACATACATACTGCATACATACATACAGAAATACCAACTTTCATGCACGTCCATGTACATGTGTATAAATATAAATATTTTCCAACTATTAATTAGTTATTAACAATTTATCATTGTGATAATTTCTTCAGTATAATATTTTCCTAGACATTTTTTTGCGACCCCAAACCCGCATGTGTTGTCTCCGGCTTACAATAGCGTAACATACCAAATTTACGCTCAGGAGTTCAAGTTTTATGCCGTTTACTTAAAAATTGTGAGTGAATCGACCTATCATGAAACTTGATGGTAAGAACATCATCTGTGTTTAGATGGAAGTTTTTTTACGATAATTCAGTTTTTAAGTGAGTTATGAGCATTTTTAATTTACATTTATTATACACGCATAACTCACTTAAAAATTAAAAATAAATATAGGTTATAACGTGTCATTGGATTTCAATAAATAACTTAAATAGAATATCAAAGTCTTTAGCATTCCGTCCTTTTAAAGGTAGTCATACTTATGACAAAATTTCAGATTTAATTAATTTCTGAATTTAACTCGAGTCCTATTAAAATTGTAGCAAACGATAATGACAGCAATTTCGTTAAGGCGTTTAAAATGTTTGGAGTTACGCTACACAACATCGATATAGTAGAAGACGTAACTCGGAGTTAGCTTTAGAATCAAATGAAAATATTATATGTTTGAATATGTCGTAGGTCATACGTTAGAAATCGAAAATAAATTGCCTGTACATTTTAGATGTTTTGCTCATACGCTTAATTTATGTGCCACTACAGACAAATAAAGTAATAAAAGTCTCTGTTGAATTGTCTTTAATACACGACCAAGTAATTAAAAAATGTAATATTTTTTTGGAAATTAGACAGGAAAGTTTGTGTGATCTCGCCAGGCTAAACACCAGCGTTCTTTATAATTCCAATATTCTACAGTACCTAACATATCTGCACCATTTACTATACAATAGTATACATACTTCCAGTTTCTAAAGTAACTTCAAATACGGTGTAAGCTTCTTCAACTGTTTCAGCATACAGCATTTTTCTAAATGATTGCTTCATAAGCTGATGATCTTTTTTTTATATTATTTTCACTATCCCAAAGCCTACTCCAAACAGCTTACAATATATGAAATATGCAAAGAAGAGATTTTAAGTTTGACCAAACTGCTTTCAAAGCATTAATTTCTGAATCTGAATTGTCTGTTAAAAATATGGTAGGAAAACCTTTCCCATCAAAGGCATTCTGTACATTATTTTTAATCAATAGAAATCCAGCTTTATATGATTCTTTACTTTGACCTTTTGTTATAAGAACACCGAATGGTGCAGCACTAGATGCACACGGTGTTAATAAAAAAGTAATACAATGGTTTTCTGGGTCACAAGAACTAGTAGAATCAACAAAAACTATATCTTCAGCAAGTGGTGAATCATGGGCTCTCATCATAATCGGTGTAAGTATGAGTACTGCAAAAGGATTATCATGAATAAAAATAAATACTTTTTCATTAAGTTTCTATTTTTTCTTTAAGTTTCTAAAAAATAATATATTAAAAATTAATTAAGTAAATAAAAAAGGTGCTCTGCTGTACAGTAGGTTACAAATGAGTCACTGTATAATGGATAGTATTAAATTTGAATTCAATGATATAATAACATTGTATAAGAAAAACGATTCTGAGTGGTGACGGTATGTCAGTCTAGGTATAAGGCATATTATATACTTACCTATAGTATTAAAAAAAATTGACCAATTATAGGTACCTATAATAAATTCCAAATTAATCATATCACAATATCCATTAGGTACTTATAACGCTTTATAAATCAACAACAAACAATGATACTATCATAGATATATAATAGTGTACTTCAGAAATTGCAAGTACTTAATTTCAAGTATTATTGTATAATATTATACAATCACAACGAAATAACTAAAATAGTTATTCTAGGTTTTTTTTATGTAATTTCATCCAAATTTGAACTTAAAATGACTATAAAAATAAACTATGCGTATGTATTTTTTAGATTTTTGGTAACAAAATAAACTACTTACGTGGAATCTTGTTTTAAATTTTCAATCCTTAGATATAAAAGTTGAACATTTTATAAATTTTTAACTACAAAATAATTATTCAATTTTAAATTTGATAATATTCGATCTTTAAATTCTTATAAAAAAAAATTGTGCCTATGTATTTTTAATATTTTTCAACTGATATTGTAACAATATATCAGGAGCCTTGTATATAATTTTTACACCTTTTAGCCAAACAGATAAAACTAAATTGATATTTATAAAAAAAAACTAAAAAAATTGAAAACTGTAATGTCCATAAACAGCTCAAAACAAGTCAAAATTGTACAGTGTATAGGAATTGCTAATATGAACATTCAGTGAAATTTTCATGTATCTACAGTTATTCGTTTTTGAATTAAAACAAAATAAGGAAATCGCTACATGAGAAATCGAGTGAATATCCAATGTTGTGAAAATTTGAATTTCAAACGCTCACAAAAATTTAATTTGACTTTCCGGTAGAGATTTTTTTATTGATAAAGGTAGACAAACTTATGAGTAATCTTGTATTACATTTCCAAATCTTAGATTTAAAAAGAAAAATTTCTACGAATCCTTAACTCAAAAGGTTTATTTAATGCTTGATTCGTGTTGATGAATACCAATCAGAAGTTTGATAAGAATTACCTACCTCAAGTTGTTGGTTACAAATAGCAGTTATTATGTATATTTACTTTGTATGTATATTCATGTGTTGTTCAGGCCCTGGATGTAGACTAAAATATAAAATAACTTTTATAAAAATATAGTTAAAAGTTTAGATACTGTTGTTTATCATAACCTACCAATAACACATTATTGTAATATTGCAACACTACACAACTACAGTATTTCAGATTGTAAGTCTTTAAAAGTGATTGTTGTAGGTAGTAATAACTTGAGGTTCAGTAACACATTGTTTTTTCAACTTTTTTCGTCTCCCTTGATTCATTATTGTCAATATTGCACCTAGAAATATTTAAACAGTAATGTAAAATAAAATCTACATAGTAAGTGGATAATGAAGGCTTATGAAATCCATCCTGATAGTCACATCGGAACCAACTAATAACTGAGAAATAACATTTATTTTTTAAAAAAATTGTAAGTATCATAGACATATGTCCTAAACATTTTTACTAAAACTAACAAAATTAGAGTGTTGGTCATTGACAAACGCTTTAAAATTTACAGAAATGTTTAACAATTTTTATAATAACATCTCAAGAGCCTCAGTTTCAAAGTTAGACATTTTTGTCTTGAAAAATTCAAATAAAAAAATCATTTAATCCAGGAGTTATTTCATATTTAAAGCAACTCTTGTTAAAGTTCTTACATACGGACAAATGGTAATGAGAAGTAGATTATTAATGCTAATTTTTTCATACAATTTGTGTACCTGTCCATGAGAGTTTCTCGTGTTGCTCATTGTTTAAGATTGTACTACTGGGTGAAAACAAATGTATTTCAAGATGAAATTGAGTTTCCATTCTCATTCTTCAATTGTAGGCGTATAAAATTTTTCTCGGTATTTCTTCAAACCAAACTGAAGTACCTAAATCATATTTATATAATTTTAGTAATCATACAGACAATTATATACAGGACTATTCTTTTATCATTGAACACTCATTATTTCAAAAAGTATTAATGGTTTTGAAAATATTTTTTTGTATAGTTTCAAGTTGTTTATTAAAAAATCATGTTTTTAAATTTTTTTTAAGTTTTTTACTTTTTTGAATAACATGGAATTTTAATTTCATATTCCAAAGCAGATTTTTTTTCTAAGTATTTTTATATATACAAATCGAATTTGGGACGAGTAGTGTATGAGTTATAAGTATTTAAATTTTAAAGTTTAGATAGTCGGTGAGGAGGGGTACGGGGTACCCTGTAAAATATTTATCCACTACTACGCTTGTCTAAACTTCAAATACTTATAACTCATAAACTACTCATCCTAAATTTGATTTGTATGTTTCAAAATACTTAGAAAAAAAATCTGCTTTGGAATATGAAATTAAAATTCCATGTTATTGAAAAAAGTAAAAAACTTAAAAAAAAATTTAAAACATGATTTTTTAATAAAAACGTTTTTTTTGACAACTTGAAACTATGAAAAAAAATATTTTCAAAAACATTAATACTTTTTCAAGATAAATTCAATGATAAAAAAAAACGCCATAAATATAAAGTTAAATACAATTGTTTGATTAAATCTTACAATTAATATTGAATATCTAGATTTTTCACTAGGAAATTATGATGATGTTCCAGGAGAAAAAGTGTAGTCAATACTATCATGTAAATGTAGACAAAATTTAAAAATATTGTATTAAATAATTATTATAAATGGATCTCTATATAAAAAATATTAATAATCATATGAACTTACCAGGTGAACAAGTTAATAGAAGAGCTGAAATGTATACAGCATTATTAATATTCAGTTTAATGAATATTCAAAAAATGATACAAATTTGAGAAAATAACATAGAGAAATTTGCTTTATCAATAATCGTGATTTGTTAAATTTTGATAACAAATTATTAAATATAATTGCGGTAAGAGTCAGGGACGGTTACCAATTTAAATGTTGGACATACAATTGAGGTTATGTTTATAGATTTTATCACGGTCTTAAAACCATAGATAATAGCATAGACATATGAGACAGTGTCTCTAGACGCTCGTAATAAAAACGGTTGATATCACTCACGATTATAAAGAACAGGTTATGCGTCGGAAGGAATATTTTCGGTCAGATTTTGTTACGGCGGTGTAGTTCTTAAAACCGCCGAGCGCTGCAAGTCATCCGTGTTACATATTAACATTTTCCTATACAAACCATGTTAAAACTAATTTTTTAATTAATTAATTGACAAACCTTTTGTTTTAATATTAGCAGTTTATTCATAGGCAATTTATAGACCTGCATTTTGGGTGTAGCCTACTGTATTTTTAGACCTCTCTTTTTTTATTTCGGCCCTACTAACAATGTATACAAACTTTGATAATATTAAATTATTTTTCATCAACCTGATTGAATTATTATTATTAATTATAATATAATTTTTAAGAGATGTGCGATGGTGTTTTAAAAATATTTTGATAAATTTTAAATTATTTAATATTTTTGTTTATTTTTTTTTTAGTGGTTTTGCAATGTTTGAAAAATGCCTATTGCCTAGTAATTTAATAAAATGTTCTTCATAATTTTTAAATGGAAAAATATACCTAAATTCACTACAATAGGGGCCAGTTCTAAAGACTTAATTGTGGGGAGGGGGGGCTAGATCATAATTTTCACAAATAAATAATGATTATTCGGTGACGACAAAAACTATATCTCAATAATCAGTTATTATGTGGTCACTTACATTAGGAACCAGGAGTTAGAAATTAGTGTATGTATTATGTATATCATTGTGTTTTTTAGTATTTAAAAGTATAACGTTATTCTGTGTAGTACAAAGTAAATAGGTACATTTATATATATTATATTTACATATACCAATTCGAGCCCTAATGTAGTGCCAAAACTAGAGTTTATTGGATTAAATTAGTTTAATCAAATTAACTCTACATATCAGATGGTAATTTCCTTTTTTTCACTGGGTTTGACAAATATTTTGGACCCGGAAATATACTTGGAACAGCATCATGAACTAGCTTTGCTCGTTTTAAATTTATCTATAAAAACGTTTAAGACATTTTTTTATAAAAAAAGATTCATTGAACAAAGGATAAGTTACAGTACCTAGGTAATACCGTGACTTTTAAAGCACCAGAACCAGATTCCCAAGTTCTAACAATTTGATCAGGTGAAAATGTTTTTCACAAATCACTGTCTTTGAGTTGACAACAAGATTAGCACGAGGAATAGATTTTTCCCATTTTTCCCTCAAAATTTCATTTTTAGGAAATTGAAACAGTGAATAGTGAAACTTTTTCTGGGTTTGATTTATATCCTGACGTACAAAACACAACCCAGCAAGAAGATGGCATGTTTCGATAATTCGGAAATAAATAATATAATAAAATAATACTATATTGACGTATGACCCCACTATGACAATAATATTAAATATTAATAATATATTATACGATTCGTCTTCACAAATCACAATAGAATAATAGATGATTTATATTTATGACGACAATGAACAATTCGTTTAGAGCCCGGTTAACTAGCAGCGCCTACCTAGTGGTAAATAGCCGAACTATATCACCGTAACAATTTCTGACCGCGGTTGTGCCATACAAATCTTATACCGACGGATAACCTGTTCTTTATAATCGTGATATCACTACAACTATCATGGCTGAAAAATATCATATCAGTTTGGTTTGGAATAAACAACAAATTACATTACCACTGGCCGCTTAATTTAAAAATATTTAAATTTTTAATATTATATCACAGAATAAATCAAGAATCAGAATAAATTACTTTTTAAAAGTAATTTCTATCGAATCACGCGTTACAGTTTCGAATTATTAGGTACCTACCTACCTATTGCGAATTGAAAAAAAATATATGTATAATGCCGGTATTATTATGTTTTCCAATCTAATAACATATAATATATATATTTAATTTTTACTCAGCACAGTTCAGTTTTCAATGGATTTGACATTTGAAATGTCTAATTGTACCGTAAATCACGAGAACAGTTAATTAAATTTATTATTTATTTGTTTCTTTTAAATAGGTTGTCTATGAATATAGTTTGTGTGGAAGACTACATTTTATATGATCCTATTAACTATATAGGTTTTATAAAGAATTTGCTTGTACAATTTGCCTGCAGAAGATAATCGCCTAGAAATTTAAAAAAAAATTTATTTTTGTAACGAGAAAGTAATAAGTTACTTTCCTGTTTGAAAAGTAAAGTAATTTCATTGCAATTTTATTTTAGTAACGATTAAAATACCTAATTACATTTATCTCTTTAGTAACGAGTAAAGTAACTTGATTACTTTTTAAAAGTAACTTACCCAACTCTGAACCTTCTTATAATTGGAGGAGAAGCTGTTCGCCAATTAGCTGTGTCATTCAACACTAATGAAGGTGAAATACAAAGAAAATTACACGGTTTAAGAAACCAACATGCTGGCTAAACTAGGAAAGAAAAAATAACTAGAACATGTCAAGGAGCAGACAAAATGTACAAAAGTAAATGGATATATTTCGAATCGTTGAAATTTGTATTTACTGAATGCAACGTTGGTAAAGAACTGTAAGCAATTTAGTAAGTACCGTTACTATATTATATTGTAAATAGGATATAACTGTAGTAATATTTTTCTTTTATTTAAATATACAATGGCGTATTTATGGTAGGGGTGCACAGGAATCACACCCTATGTTTATATTTCAATAATTATTATGCTATAGACTATAGTAGATATCTATAGATAAGTAGTAGGTACATTTATATAATAACATAATATATACATTATTGTACAGCTATATTATTATTACTATTTGAGCTATTATAATTTCAGGCAGGTACAATTTTTTAGATTCTGAACGGAGTGATCAAATTTTTACGAAATATGTTAAAATCGCGAAAATTTTAAGTCATTTTAAAGTTGAAAATTAATACAATTTTAAGTATATATATCTAATGTTTGAAAACTAGAATAATAAAAATTTAAAAATTTAAAAAATAAAGAACTATTTTCTATCAAACAGTTTTAGATATGAAATTCCGAAAAATTCACCAAGGTTTCAGTCCCTGCTTTAAGAAGCCGTTCTGCATTAGATAGGTACAAATAAAATTTCACAACTGACTACTGACTACCAATGGTAAATGTATAATATAATGACAGGAAAGGTTATTACAATAAATGGCTAGTACTAGCAAAATTCAACGATTAGAATTTTGTTATATTAAACACATCAGTGTAGTAACTCAGGTGTATACTCTTACTCTATCTTAATACCTTAATATTTTCATAATTTGGTGGTTATTACATAACACATTTATACCATCATTAGGATTTTAGATATGCATTATATTATATATTACTATTATGGAGCTAATTATTATTTGATCGTTTGATTATTTATCTAATAATGTAAAATATTAGATTAAAAATATTAAAGGTACCATGTAATATTGATGTAATTATGTACTATTTTAAATTTTGAACATCGTTATCATTATATGTACGCATATCTTTAAATTACAAGACACCTACAAATTAGTAACTCCAATTAATAAACTATAATGATGATCAGGAAATGAAAACACACCGAATAATTTTTTTTTTTTATATTTTATATTTTAATTTTTGTTTATTTTTTACTGCTGCTGTAGTGCTTCTTCTGTAGCTGCTGCTGCTGCTGCTTCTGTAGCTGTAGGCTGTAGCTGCTGCTGCTGCTGAGCAGCCAGGGCAGCCTCCTCTCTCAATTTCCTCGTGAGAGAGTTTGCCGCTTCTGCAGCCTTCTCTGCCCTGGCTGCTCTACTCGCAGCCTCGGCGGCAGCATCCGTGGCCGCTGCGGCGGCGCGCTTGGCGTACTCGCACTGTGTGGCGGTATGAAACAAACTATGCATTCTATAAAATCAAAGAAATCAAAATTAAAACACATCCATGATAAGTAAATAACCAATTAGTTTTTATCATATGATAATATATACTTACTATTCCTGTTGGGGGCTTTACCGCCACCACGACCACCGCCGCCGCCGCCATAATTATAAATATATGTTGACATCTAAACATAAGTTAAATTATAGACATAAAGTTTATATAATAAATGATACAAAATATTTCAATATTTATACACTACCTATACTACAATTAGTTAGTTATTTATATCAAATTAATGTTGTTATTTTGGAATATAAATATTACGATGAATGATTTCAATTTTAAAAATAAAAATAATAAATTTAACAATATTTACAACATGATCAATATTAGTTGTATATTCAACCACAATAGGTACGCTGAAAGTTAAATACTTAGTTATCCTATTTACCAATTAATGTAATAAATTTGAATTTATACTAACCAAGGAAAATTAACTGTTATTTTTAAATTGTACAGAATTAAGAGGATGTAACACTGACATTTGTTGTCTCCGTCTTACAAGTGCATAACATAGCACATTTACGCTCAGCAGAACACGTGTAGCTTCGTCAGTTTAAAAATTAGAGTGAATTGACCTATTATGAAACTTAATGGTAAGAACATTATCTGTGTTTGTATGTTGGTTTTTTACGATAGTTAAATTTTTTAGCAAGTTATACGTATACAATATACCATAAATTAAAAATGCTCATAACTCACTTAAAAATTGAACTATCATAAAAAACCAATATACAAACACAGGTAATGTTCTTACCATTAAGTTTCATAATAGGTCAATTCACTCTAATTTTTAAACTGATGAAGCTACACGTGTTCTGCTGAGCGTAAATGTGCTATGTTATGCACTTGTAAGACGGAGACAACAAATACCAGTGTTACGACCTCTTAAATTAGTCTTAATACTACATATTTGTATACAGAATTAAATCAATAATAATAAAACAAATTGTGTTTCGTAATAATATTATTGATGTAAAAATTAAATTATTAGCAATACAATGTGTCATAACAATACTTGTTAATCAAACCAACCAATGTTAAACGATTTCAAAAACCAAAATTAATAATGATTTAATTAAATTGTGTAAAGTAATTTGATGTAATACAGATTTAAAATACAACACGTCCTATACATTGAAGAAATCTCGAAGCAACAAAAAATATTATTGAATGCTAAAGAAATATTTTATTTTTTAAAAAATGTATTTCGTCAAATTGTATTCTTTTAAATATTAAAACGTATTAAAAAATTGAATAGGTACAATCATTAGATTTATTTAAAATTTAATCGGTGTATAAAGATTCGTAAAATATTAAATATATCATATTATACTAGAGTATTAATAAAATAGTTTTAATACTATTCAACATTTTACTTAAGACTTTTGAGTGTTCAGACTTTCACGTGAAACTCCAGAGCTGTCGAGTCGTCGAGACCAAATTGCAGAATGAATGTTGTCCAGGCAAGGCTCACCTCAACGCCTACGCGGCGGCGGCGGCATAATAATATAATATTTATTAATAGCGGCCACGGTTTAAGATAGTCTATCTTAAACCGTGATAGCGGCCAACGATCGCATTTAATTTTGACAAATTCCCCATACATGTATTGACCATTTTGTGGTTTATCTAGCTATTTTTGAATTATTTCCTCCGATTTTCGGCCGTCGATCATCGCTTATTGTATATTATAATATCATATAATAAATAATATTAATTATATTTATAAATTGAATTATTCTTTCTAGCAAGGCACGGTCCCGAGTCCTGACGATCTATTATTATCATTGTTATTATTATTCAAATAGAATCCGTTTTAAATAAATAAATTATGTTCCCTATACAATACTAAATGTATTATTTGTTATACTGTTATAGTTATTACAATGAATACCTACTTGCAGTCTGCAGTATTCATTTTGTGGTAGGCCTATATTCTTATTATTAAGCCGCATTCCTACGACTGGTGTACTTGGCCAATCTTTCTTGATAATTTTCCACTCTTCCGAGTTTTGAGGAATCTTAGAAATTATATATACAATGATAGGGGAGACCGGGGCTAGTTGACACACTTTATACAATTTTTCTTTCCACGATCAGAATTTCCATTTTAAATACTCGAATTTGTATGTATCCTTTCATTAACATGTAAGCTATGAAATCGTATCATTATATAGTCTAAATATTTAACCCTTTTTTGTACAAAATTTAAAATGTAAAATAAAATTTTTGTATCAACTAACCCCGGAATCGGGGTTAGTTGACACAGGCATTGGGGCATATTGACACAAAATTAAACAAACTTATTTTGTATAACAAATTACTGTATTATAACAAATATTAAATATTTTTGATTGATAATAATTAAAAACAGGTATTAACCAGGTATATACCAGGTATATCGTATATAGACATCGTTTTTCCAGGATTATTAACTATCCACGAATCACACGTGCCACGTGGTATTGACGTATTTTTTAAGTGGTCCGAAAACACTCCTGTCTAATGGCTGTAACTTATGCGAGCAGTGGGGTGGGAATGATAGCATAATGATACCATTTTCTTTACAATAGTTTAGACTTTCTATTGATAAATGCGATTCATGATTGTCGAGTAACAATAATATTGGTTTCTCTTTTGAACATTTCACAAATCTAACAAAATGTTTTAAATATTTAACAAAATGGGTTTCATTCATCCACCCTGACACGTTTGCACCGCCAGCACAGCCAGAAGGACCATTGGATAAAAAATAATCTCGAAAATTAACTCTGGGAAAAACAAAATATGGTGGAACACTGTTACCTGCTGCTGAAACAGAATACGCCAAAGTAACTAATGTGCCTCTTTCAGCTGATGTTATTCGACCAATTTGCTTAAAACCTTTACGAGCTACAACTTTATTGGGTTTCTGTACTGTGGTTATACCCGTTTCGTCCATGTTATATATATCCCCCGGATCAAATGAATGACGACTTAAAACGATTTTTAAATTATCAAAAAATCTTTGAACATTTATTCTATTAAAACTGGATGCTCTAGCAAGACTTGTCGCTTCTGGAATTCGTATAGATAAATCAGTCTTACGTTTTTTAAAACTAGTAAACCAATCTGGCCCAGCAATTTTATTTTTCAACCAACTTTCAGGAATGTTTTTTATTTTCAATTCATATGCATACTGATATGCTAGCTTACGAACTTCGTTTGGTGATAAGCCATAATAAATATCTGAAGATTTTTTTATATAAGCAGCAAACTGTTCCTCTTCACATATTGAAAATACTTGTTTATGTTTACTGTACCCTACACCACTAACCTGGTTAATATGATCTTCTTCGTTATCTAAGAGTTCACGTTTTTTACAATAGCGTGATAATGTTTTAAACGGTATATTGTAATCTTGTGCTACACTTCTGCGTGACATATTGTCAACTAAAACTTTTTTTACGGCAATTTTTATTACGTCGATAGGTACTTTTGCTCTACTTGATGTCCTTTTATAATTTCTAACCATTGCTAAATACCTACATATAAGGAAATATATCATTATAAAATGAAAATTTCTACAATGGGGCAAATTGACACGTGTCAATTTGCCCCGATCTACTTGTGTCAATTAACCCCAAACGGTTTTTTCTAATATTTGGCATTTTGGAAAAAAGTGGGATGTTTAATTAACACAACAATTATGATATTAATTAGTACGTACTGTTAAATGTTGCGCCGGGTCGCATATAAGCAAACCATACATTGCTAGAGACCCATAGGAAATAGAGAGCTCTCATTGGTCCTATTACATTTGTGATAACATGATAAAATGATTCAAATCACGTGTATAGGTATGTACGTCAAGTCAATTTCTACAATTCATAATAATAATAAAATATAAGTTCTCAAGTTAAAATTCAAATCACGTGTATAGGTATGTACATCAAGTCAATTTCTACAATTCATAATAATAATAAAATATAAGTTCTCAAGTTAAAATTCAAATCACGTGTATAGGTATGTACATCAAGTCAATTTCTACAATTCATAATAATAATAAAATATAAGTTCTCAAGTTAAAATTCAAATCACGTGTATAGGTAATAATGGGTGTTATAACAATTACAGCAAATGGATTTTCTTTGAATAAAACAGTAATGCCATTTTTACTGTAAATTTCTTGTTTTTCTTTTAGTTTCTATATTAAAATTAAAATAATAAAGCTACATTAATATGTATGCTAGCCTTACTTATTTGTATTATCTGTATCTAATATTATGTAAGTATACTATTCTTTATTGCTATAATTGGATATTTACCTCAATTAATCAAACACCACTACGTGGACCTAAATTCAAACTTCTCCAAACATCATACCAATAACGAACCGTACGATAACATGGATTAATGCCTCCATTAGCAAAATGTTCCAACGTGAAATCCTCTTTTAACTCCAATAATTGTTCATGATATTTTTGTGATTCAGTTATACCCATTCCAGAATCAAAATACTCATAAAACATATTTTTTACATCATCACCAGCCGGAATAAATCTGAGACTTTCAGCAGATTTTATAGTATGGGTATGATGATTATATATTTCTATACAACATACTAAACCTTTCTGTAATATAAATATTATATATTTATTGTAATGCTTATATTATTATTATTATTTATTTTCAATTATTAACTGTTGTTAATTTGTAAATCACATCATTAATTGGAAAATATTGTGGATGTATTGTTTACAATACTATACCAGAAACAGTGTAATACAATATAGACTGTATTATTTGTTAATAAATAATGAACAAAAATTAATTAATTTTATATATTTCTATGTAATATACTAAACCTTTCTGTAATATAAATATTAAATATCTATTTATTGTAAAGCTTGTATTATTATTGCTTATTACCAATTGTTAAGTACATATTAAGTGTTGTTAATTTTTAAATCACATCATTAAAGTACCTATATACAGTGTAATACAATAAAGACTGTATAATACAGTCTGTATTATTTGTTAGTAAATAATGAACACAAATTTAAAGTACCAATTTATTTTTATCAGTCAGACATAACATAAATTGTTTACATTTTAAAATCTTAGAAATGTTATGGCCTTATTTTACTATGACTTGTCAATCAATCTGTAAAAATGTAGAATTCATATTTATTTCACAAATTTAACACATATTTGGAGTCTGCAAAAAAAAAAAACTAATTGCGAAAATGAAAATGAAAATAGTATCAGAATAATATATTACCATAGATGATCTGGACAAATTCACAAGCTAAACAAAAAGACAAAAAAATTAATTATGAGTTTAATTGAATTTATAAATACCTTAATAAATGGATCTTTCTTCCTTGTAGATACTGTGTCCAGTTTAATAACAGCCTTAACATTAGCTGGACATTCAGCATTTTCTGAACGGCCTTTTTGATTTTCAGATATACTAGGCTTCTGAAATCCACTATGTTGACAAACAAAGTTTTTTCTAAAAAATGTTTAAAGATGTTTTTTAGTTAAGATTTCTACAACATAAATAGTAATGTAAATACAATATAAAATACTTACGAACACACAATTCGCTGCCCATTTGGAACACTAGTATTCTAACGTTCCAATTTAAATAATTTATTTTACCAAACTCAGCAACCCACACATTGATGTCTTCCATAGATTTCACATCACATCTCAATGTTATATTTACATTGTCATCTTTGACAATTTCATATTTAAATGATGGTGGATAAATCATTTTATTAAATAATTAAAAATGTAAATTAACAAATCTATTGTAATTAGAAAAATTTGAAAATTTGAAAATATTGATAATTTTATCATGTTATCACAAATGTAATAGGACCAATGAGAGCTCTCTATTTCCTATGGGTCTCTAGCAATGTATGGTTTGCTTATATGCCGCCGGGTCCGCATACAATAATATAAATAGTATACATTATAGTTTATATCATAATATATTTATATATAATATATTATATAATGTATAGTAAATAGTATATTAGTATATATAAGGTATTATTAATTATAGTATCTATAAATAATCATAATGATATTGTACACAAACGGTCAGATGACTCTCTTTTATAATATATCATTAGGTATATTATTTGGGGGGGCAAAAAAATGTTCGTGGCTAAGCCCCCCTTCATCCCCCAACTAATTACGCCTATGACCAGAGAGTAGGGCCGCTATTATATTTGGGATTATGGGCCGGACCCTACCCAGTCCGGCACTGCATTTACCCACCTTTGTTGAATTATGTTTGAATTCGTACTTGGAATATTTCTATACAGCCTATACACAATGTTGCGATTGAAACTGCCCGTTTCCACCAAAAGTATACCTTTCCCGTTTCCACCAAATAAAATAAAAAAAAGGTGGGCAAGTGGGTGTCGCTCTGCTGTACAGTAGGTTACAAGTGAGTCACTGTATAATGGATGATATTAAATTTGAATTCAACGATATAATATCATTGTATAAGAAAAACGATTCTGAGCGGAGACAGTATGTCAGTCTAGGTATAAGACATATTATATACATTATACATATCTATGGTACTAAACCAAAATTTGACCTATAATAGGTACCGTATTATGGAAAAATCACGAAAATTAGCGAATTATTTTGAGTTAAGAATTCGTAAAAATTTTTCTTTTTAAATCTAAGATTTGAAAATGTAATACAAGATTACTCATAAGTTTGTCTACCTTTATCAATAAAAAAATCTCTACCGGTATGTCAAATTAAATTTTTATGAGCGTTTGAAATTCAAATTTTTACAACATTGGATATTCACTCGATTTCTCATGTAGCGATTTCCTTATTTTGTTGTAATTCAAAAACGAATAACTGTAGATACATGAAAATTTCACTGAATGTTTATATTAGCATTTCCTATACACCATACAATTTTGAAAATATTTTGACTATTTTTGAGCTGTTTATGGACATTTACAGCTTTCAATTTTTTTTAGTTTTTTTTTCTATAAATATCAATAAAGTTTTATCTGTTGGGCCAAAAAGTGTAAAAATTTAATACAAGGCTTCTGATATATTGTTACAATATCAGTTGAAAAATATTAAAAATACATAGGCACAGTTTTTTTTTATAAGCATTTAAAAATCAAATTTTGACAAAATTTATCAAAATCTCGAAAATTATCAATCATTGTAATTAATAAATTATAAATGTTCAGTTTTTATAGCTAAGGATTGCAAATTCAACACAAAGGTTCTCGTAAATAGTTCATAGTGTAACCAAAAAATCTAAAAATATATAAACACACTTATTTTTTACAGACATTTTAATTTCAAGTTTAGACAAAATTTCATATTTAAACCAAGAATTACGATTTTAGTTATTTTGTTGTGATTGTATAATATTATTCGTGGGTACTTGAAATTTCTAAAGTAATCTACTATATATATCTATGATAGTATCAGGGTTTGTTGTTGGTGTATAACGCGTTATAAGTACCTAATGGATATTGTGATATGATTAATTTGGAATTCATTATAGGTCAATTTTTTTAATACCATAGATAAGTATATAATATGTCTTATACATACACTGACATACCGTCACCGCTCAGAATCGTTTTTCTTATACAATGATATTATATCATTGAATTCAAATTTAGTACTATCCATTATACAGTGACCCACTTGTAACCTATTGTACAGCAGATCGACACCCACTTGCCCACCTTTTTTTTTTTAACTTTTTGCTACCCTGATTACAGACGAAATAGAAGTCGAACGCACATTGACCATAGTTCCTTTTCGAATCGCCGTACGCCAAAATAACAGCAGAGCGACAACCACTTACCAACCTTCTTAAGGAATACAATTTATTGTAGAAAATATTATAGTATTATAGTGTAATCTAATAAAACGAACCATGGGACACCATCTCCCTATTATTTCATTGTTATTCTAGACCATTACATGATAAAAACAAAAGATATAATGATATTTAAAAACGCAAGATGGCTCACATGAAGAAACTCTCATTAGATGAAAATTCTGAGTTATTATACTATAATCTTAAAAAGAACTTCTTCAATGTGGCGTGAAAAATAAAAATAATATAATAGCAAGATACATATAAAACATTTCAAAAACATTAAAACAATACTATTAACATTAAAAAGTCATGTAAATAATAAAAAAAAAACTCCTCTCGAACGAGAAGTGAATCATACAGAGATATAAGGTACCGCGTTTTAAACAAATCACGATAAAATGAGAGTAAGTATTAATTTATTAATAATTGTACTTACTCCTATTTTAATCAATTTTTGGAAGCCACCAATTTATGGTGGCTCATAATAATAATAAAGAAAATTAAAAACGGCACACCCGCCCGTACCTATTAAGTACGAAAAAATAGTCCCCTGGGCCGTTCGGTCGCATATTACTATGTCCCCGAAAGCTTTGTAGCTCCTAGACTTATTTTCATCTTATAGAAAATTTTCCTGGCTTTCCGAATATATAGGTTTAATGCTGCGCCACCTTCCGGAACTTGGTCGGAAAAAACGAAAAACAACGCATGGGTACCTGCACGGGGTGGTACGAAAAAATAGTCCCCTGGGCTGTTCGGTCGCATATTACTATGTCCCTGAAAGCTTTGTAGCTCCTAGACTTATTTTCATCTTATAGAGAATTTTCCTGGATTTCCGAATATATAGGTTTAATGCTGCGCCACCTTCCGGAACTTGTTCAAATAAATTAAAAACGGCACTCCCGCTCGTACCTATTCAGTACGAAAAAATAGTCCCCTGGGCTGGTCGGTCGCATTAATATACGGGCATATAATGATGTAAGTGAATTTCATGGCGCCATCTTGTGGTTGACGGTAATACAAATGTTGGGTGCCTTGAATACAATAAAACGCAACCGGGCATACAAGGCCTGTTATCACTAGTCGTCCGAGAAAATAGTCCCCTAGCTATAGTCCCCCAACTTCACACCCGTTGCGAAGGCACATACCACTCTATGTGATATACCTACTATATATAGATGATAGACGGATTGCTCATTTTAGTTTCGTCTTAAACGGTAATGATTGACTTGATAGACACTTTAACATGCAGGTTTTTGCATTTTGAAGTTATACTTCTTTACACAGGGTAGTGAGGAAATAATGTAATAAGTATGTCGTTAATATTATATAAAAGTTGCAAAATAAAAAACAGATTCATCTATCTAGGCCCATACTAATTAACATGAATAATTAATGATCGATTATTATTTATTTTTATTATTATTATTATTATTCACTCACAAATCTATTGTCTGGATAAAAACAATACTACAAACAATTATCCATCGATCTGTCGAATAAAAATATAAAAAAAAATAATAAAACTATCAATAATAAATAATTCCGGATACTTCTTCTCATTTTTCAAATTAATTAATATTTTTTTCTTTCTTTTTCACTCACTCACGTAGTCACGTGTACCATTCAAAATAAGTTTAACTTCCCGCGCGCGTACTGGTAATTTTTTTTTTAAATTAATATATATTATACACTATAGTTACATGTTTATATGTATTGTATTGGTTAATATAATAGCATGTATCTAACTATCTACCTATATGTTAATTTTTTTTAGGAATTATAATTGCACATTTCTTAAAATGTTCATTGTTATATTATATCACACAATAAATACATATCATATTTGTTTGTATGTATATTGTATATAGTTTGAATTTTTCGAGAATTATTTCGTAAGTTGTGTGATAGGGTTTTCACTTAAAGCCGCTTGATGTCGAGTCCGCAATCCACCGCAGGTGGATTGCCTACCTGATTTGCTGTAGCACGTTGTCCGCGATCCGACGAAGTCGGATTGCCTACCTAAGTGGCTAACTTGAAAGTTAATACATTTTGACTTGAGATGACTGATTTGCTAGAAACTCCAACACGGTTTTCGACTTTACACTTTTTACATAAGATAAAGCACCAGTCATGCTACCACTCTATGTGCAGGTATACTCTATATAGGTGATCCTGGAGATCGTATCCAGCCTATCCATTTACAACGTTTGTGACGGATTGCTAGCATAGATATTAAAGATATCTATGATTGCTAGACGCTCAAACTTTTAACATTCCCGCCCAAGCGCCTAGCCTTATCTCCAATCCATATCACTAATCCTTATCACAAATCCTAAACTTTCGTCTTACAACCTTTGCGAGTTTTATAATTCATTGTCTCCAAAATCGGTACCCACTCCCAGCGAGTCCAACGTTCCCCGAGTTACACTTAGAGCTAGTCCTAATATATAAAATGACAAGGAAATCAGCTGTCTACAAGCAACCCGTGGAACGGAAAACGCAGTTATAGTGAAACCGTGGAGTAAAAAATGAAGCACCGCTCCGTTTCCCCAACCCGCCGGCCATGTCCCGTCGATTCCTTATAGCGCGACCAATCGCGTACCTTCACAGCGGCGGCGGGCGGTTTTAAAACGTCGCGGCCGATTTTTGAAATTTTCGGAATATTAGATGTTTTTATACGATTTCGATCATTTTCGCCCTTTATGATTCGCGTAGCTCGCGATCTCTTGAAGCCGCCCGTGTGCGGTTTATATTCGTGCGCCGTCCGAAGCGGTAGCAATATCGATCGAAAAATACGCTCCCGGCCGGACTTTTTGCCCATTTCTTTTTGTTTTCTCCCACCGTTTCGTCTTTTCGCACGCCGTTCGTGCCTGCATCGTGTAGTTAACGCGCTTTTCCCTTGAAATCGGTTCGCGTTTAGAAATTACGCCAGCGACCGGCCGATCGTACGCGTATATATACATGTCTACAATTTAATTTTCCTCTATGATTTAATAATTATTAACGGAAAACGCTTTTCACACGCCCCGTTAAATATATATATGGGAGATGCGAGTATTACAAGCGAATTATATGCGATTACATTTACATCGATGTACATCGAATATATCGGTTTACGTCGCTCCGTAGACGCACGGCTTAAGTGTTGATGTTTTGACCGTAATTCACATCTCAAACTGTGTCCAAGTAGGTTAGGCGTTAGGCGGGAAACACGAAGGTCCCGAGTTCGAATCCGTCGTGCGCTCGCTGGGCGTCGAAATCGCCATTGCCATATGGTTTACACGGCCGCCCGAAACTCGACTTTTTTTGCATTTTTTTTTTCGATTTTCTTCTACGTAATTTTTCAAATTTCCGATCTTTTCTCTTTCTTATTACATAAAAATTATTATTATACATTTACCTTTTCTGTATGTTCTTCTTTATTATTAATAAATATATGTATAGTAATTATTAGACGTAAGATATCCTACATTTCTTCCACATTTTTCAAAATTTCCATGATTGTTATATATATAAATTTGTATTCCGTAATCCGTATCATTTATTACCGTCTGTCCGTAACATTAAATGCCCTTTGGACCTTCATTAGTTAAAATTTATCGCTCAGCGGGTGGAATGGAGAGGGTAACTAAGCTCGCGGAACCGTACTGTGTTATCCAACGTCAGGCTACGGCTAACGTTCGAAGGAGACGTTTGTAAATGCACAGGAACATTGGTGATTATTTTGCACATTTTAATATTTCTAGACTCCTAACAAGTGCTTTCTTTCTAACGTATTTTTGGTTTTGGATCAGGCGATTTTTGATACCGGTGAGTACAATTTTGACAGACATAATAATAATATTAGCATTAGTACCTATCCCGTGCGTTTGTACAATTGTACATCCATTACATAACATGTAGGTACCTACTCATGACAGCGCTTATCGTCAACGGCCGCTTCTGTACACACTTCAAACATTGTACATAACATTGTGACCACTGACCATGGCGCGTTACAATATGTTTCTTTTTCCCCATAAACAGCGTATACAAATTGAATAATATAACGTTTTTTATATCCACATTCGTAATCGGACTCAGTCACGTCAGCCGTTCCACTGAGGCCGTCCTTATCTTAAGTATTTGCGTTAACATTGCGTATATATTCATTCAATTTTGTTTTGTGGCTTTAACATTCTTCGAGCTCAGTATGTCGTTTTTCGTATTTTTCCATTTTTCATGTATAATGTACTCATGTACAAAAGGTATGTACAAAGTACAAACCTTAGAACAATGTACAAACTATATCAATTCTAAAAATAACACAAGTTGCTTAATCATTACTGATAACATAACGATACGATCATCATTTCAAAATGCTTTCAATACTTTCGTTATAATAATTTTGTATATTGTTGTGTTCGTTATATAACTATAAAGGCGCGTACACACGAGCGAACAAAAATAACGAATGCTCACGAACGTTCGTGTGCGACCCACCATGCGACCGTGTAGACGACGTTCGCGAGCATTCGCGAGCGTTCGAAAACGTTCGCTGAATAGGTCGAATAGACTCGCACGACGAGCCGATCACTGTCGGTTTTTCAGTTATGTTCAAAGGAACACCGCGAGCATTCGTGTCACCGTTTGGACGGTATATTAATTAATTCAAACGTGCGTTATAAAATAATAAATAAATAAGTACTTAACTTACACTTTTTTATTATCTATTTGAAAATGGATTGGGATAGCAAAGATTGCTTGAATTTAATTGAAGCATTTAGATTGCAAGAAGTGTTGTGGGACTCGAAAAACCCATCATATTTTTCAAAAAATGCCAAACATGATGCTTGGTGTCATTTGGCAAAAGAAATGAAAAGACCGGTTGAGGAAATTAAAAAAAAAATATTAAGCTTACAGGGATCATATCGTAGAGAAAAAGCAAAAGTAAAAAAAAGTTATGGAACTGGAAAAGGTAAATATTAAAAATTAATAATTAATAATAATTAGAATGAACATTTAGAAATTAAGTACCTACCTACTTATAATATTATTTTTAAAAGGTGCCAACGACATATATCACTCAAAATGGTTTGGTTTCGACGCCATGCATTGTTTTTTAGCTGATAGAGATGATCCAATGCCGACTATAAATTCTGTAAATGTGAGTTTTAATAACTATGTCATGATTATATTTTTATATAATATAATAATAATATATAATTAATTATTTATAACTTAGCTGGAGTGTGTTTAGAGTTTTTATTTTTAGACTTTAGGGGACTAATAAAAATAACGTTAGGGTATTACTCGGCAAGAAATACTGTTATTTATAAATACATTGTATAGAAATAAACTACGTATAATTTTCAAATACTATAATAAATTATTACATAAATTAGAATGAATAATGAAATAGTATTGTAGGTACTCAATTAGTCATTAAAGTAAAATTTTAAATATTTTGCCATTGTACACTGCCATTTGTAAGAAAGTAATCAGCAAAATGTTCCCTTATTTCTTGCGCTTGAAGTGGTGGTCTACGAGCGATATTTCTTAAGGGTAGTAAAGAAGTTGTAGTACTTCCAGACTCCCTCCAATCACCCCGTATCATGTGGCCTTCCTCTTCTCTATCAAACGATCCAGGTGGGGTATAGATGTTTCTTGACGATTTACTACGTCTTAAAAAATTATGTAAGTAAACAACTGCCATAACCACAATTTGAGCTTTTTGAGGTTCCAATAACATTGGTTTTCTTAGAACACGAAAGACGGCAGATGAGATGCCAAATGCGTTCTCAACAGTTCGTCGAGCACGACTTAACCGGTAATTAAATATTCTTTCTTTTGTACCTTTATCATGGGTTCCAGAATACGGTTTCATAATATGTTTTGTAAGGGCAAAAGCCTCATCTGCAAGAAAAACGAAAGGTATATCTACATTTTTCCCTGGCAAAGGTACTGGTGAGGGCAAGTTTAATTTCTCCCTTTCTATTTTTTTGTGTAATTCAGTATTTTTGAACACTCCTCCATCCGAAATACGTCCTTGACACCCGATATCGATAAACAGAAAATTGTAGTCTGCGTCGACTAATGCAAACAATACAATGCTAAAAAATGATTTATAGTTAAAATATTCGCTGCCGCTGTTCATTGGAGATTGCAAGACGATGTGCTTTCCATCCATAGAACCAATGCAATTCGGATAATTCCATGTTGTTTCAAATTGTCTTGAAATATCAAGCCACTCATTTGACGTGGAAGGCATCTATATTAAAATAGTGTTTTATTAATTTACCTATATACTATAACACTTATAAAAGTAAAAACTACATAATATGAATATATGATACACGATTAGTGATGTTCACATAATAGTATTTTGTTTTTTTTCTGTATTATACCTTATATTATACGTATATTATTTAGAGTTAGAAATTCATAAAAAATTTCTTTTTAAATCTAAGATTTTAAAATGTAACACAAGATTTAAAATAAGTTTTTCTACTTTTATCAAAAATAAAATGTATAAAAATAGTAAAAAGTAAAAATAAATTTTTATGAGCATTTTAAGTTCATAATTTTACAACATTATCCAATACTGTATTCACGATGTGTTATAGGTATTCTTATTTAATATAATATATTTATTGTTATTATGTATTTCAGATTCTAAGTGAGACAAGAGAAATGTGTGCTTCACCGTATACTGGAACTGAAACATCCACAGACACAAGCGATATTTTTATGCCAGAGGAGGATGCACTTGATACAAGTGAAACACAAACATTTCCACAACAACAACAATTTGTATCTGCAGATAATGAGTTCACTTGTCCGAGTACAATCCAGCAGTCAAGAGGAAAAAAACGAAAAAATTTAGCCAATACAGACACAAGAATCGATGAAGCATTTGCGATTTTAAAGAAATCTGCTTCGAACATGGAATTAAATCAACCATCTCCCGACGAGTGTACTACATATGGTACATTTATCGGAAATAAACTTCGAAATTACACTCCAAAAACCAAATCATTTGTTCAGTATTACTTCAACAATATACTTTTTGAAGCGGATATGGGAAGATTTGATGGGATGAACGAAAGCAATCAAAGTTCATCTTTACCAACATGTTATGGTAATCTGTCACCAACAACCCATAGTTCAAGTCAAACTTCACCTCATATTATTTTTCAAAATGTACGACAAGAACAACCATCCACATCAAACGCAGTTTTCAATCCAATATTTGAACATACATCAGATGGGTCTTCTCTAGAATCATCATACCTAGGTTAGGTAGCTACTTATTTTCATATTAATGGAAAAGTTTGTATTCATTGTTTTTATTTTAATTTTGATGAAAAAGTATGTTTTTTATGTTTAAATTTTATGAAAAAGTATAATATTTATGTTTTAATTTTATGAAAAAGTATGTTTTTTATTTTTTAATTTGATGAAAAAGTATGTTTTTTATGTTTATTTAATTAGAATGAATTTTGATTTGAATGAATTTGTTTGAGTTTAATTTAAGTTTGATTATTAATAAAACATTATTATTTATTACCTATGCATTACTTACTTTTACATATTCCTTTAAAACTTCAACGATTGCCATGCAGACTTCAGGAATTATACATGAAATTATTTGTTTTGAAATGCCGAATAAATATTGTAAGCTGCTATATGAATCTCCGGTGGCAAGAAATCTCAGCGTCACAGCTAGCCTAACTGTTACCGAAATAGCTTGACGCATATTCGTATCTTGCTTGATTACTTTTGGCCCGATGAGATTAATAATTTTTTCAAAATCAGCTGATGACATTCTTGTAAAATTTTGAAAATGGAAACTGTGTACATCAGACTGCATACTATTTAACAAATTAGCTCCTCTATTTTCACTATCGATGTAAAGTTTTGATCTCCAAAAACGTCTTTTACGTCGAACTTTTTTTTCTTTGATTTTCATAAGTTCATGCATTACAATAAATGCTGCACTTGCAACTTGTAAATGATTACTCATAATTCACCAATAAAATAATAATTAAATAATTGTTATACTTGAAAAATTGCTTTTTGTAATACTTTTTTGTATTTAAACCAAAACACTACGTTTCGATACTAAAGTATGTTAACAACTGTACTCGACTCTGGAATGGGCCCGAACAGCTACGCATAGTATATTTCGTGCGTCGCACATACAATATGTGTCCACATGAACAAACAGAATTCGTCCGAATGCTCATGCGTGCTCGTTCGCGTTCGAGTGAGCACACTTCGAACGTCGCACAATGTTCGCTCGTGAGTACGCACCTTTATGCGTTCCAGGCTATTCACAATGGTGAAACGATGTGTGATCTGTGGAAACGTGAATGGTGACAATAACGTTTCGGTGCACAGGTATTTACAATTTCACATAACAATAATGTGACATGTTATAAATCACATCCATCCTAAAGGTGCGTACACACGAGCGCATACTGTGCGGCGAACAAGCCGAGCATGCGTGTGTTCGCTCGTGAGGACGAAGTGTGCGGCCTATTCGGCCTATTCGTAAACGTTCGGCGAATAAGCCGCGCAAGCACACATGGCGAGCCGATCGTTGTCGGTATTTTGGTCATGCTCAAAGGAACACCGCGAGCATTCGTGTGTCCGTGTGGACGGTTAATTTTGTTTTCTGCTGTGCGTCAAAATATTTCCCATTTTTATTTATTTTGGATTTAAAGTATGGCATGATATGCATAGGCGCAATTAGGTTGGAACTAGGTGGAGCTTTGCCCCCTCAAATAGTATAATGAAAAATTACAAATCAAGGGCCATTTATTCGTTCTATAAATTGGAACCATATTTATTATTATTTGGGAAGTACGGGGGCAAGGCCCCAGCTGGTCTGTAAAAAAATCCAGCCAGCCACCCAAAAAAAGCTTGTGCCTAACTTTGGGCATATGGTTAATATAATTGATGTGATTATTTTTTCAGTAAAATCTCATTTCCTTCAAAATATATATGAATTGTTTTAATTTCAGGTATGCGGATTATCTTTACAATTTTATATATACCATTACTATGTTACGGGTTCTTGTCTACGCTTATACCTATTATAGGTACTCAAAAAGAGGTAGCTAAATAAAATATAGGCAATTACTAAAGATGGTGATGTTGTTAGTATGATAAATCTATATTTTGCTCGAACTTAGTGTTGAATAATGAATATCACAAAAAAAATTTTTATTTCTAACTGTGTAAAACCATTACTAACTTGTATTGCGTATAGTGTATGTATTAAATAATCGTGTGATATACAGAAGACTGTATTAAAATTAGTAAAATGACTAGTTCTGTTAAACCATCGTTTTCAATATATTATTTAACAACAGTTTTATTTAATGTTAAATTATAAAGATATTTAACACTAATGATGAAGAGTAGGTACCTACAATACAAAAATACCCTGTACTCTGTAGGCTTGTAGCAGCTGCCTATTGTATTATTATTTAGGGTGGCCTATGTCCTAGTCCCTCGTCCGCCACATTTTATACCTTTTTTAGTAAGATAACATTATATTGTACTCCATGCACTATTGCCGTAACTCACCACTAGTGTAGCTGTTGGTCACCACCAGTTTTTCAATTTCGATTGAAAATCTGCAGACAGTTTAACAGTTAACAGTAATATTTTGTTTTTGAAATAGAACGGTAGTGTACAAGTTAGTTGCTCGTTTAAATGTTTTTAAATACCGTGTAGTGTGTCATTAAATTTTGTGATTTTTTTTTTATATCCTACGTACTGATTAAATATGTACTAAATATATAATACAAATAAATTACTCTTGAGAACATACATCGACGTACATACATATCGGAGTATTCATTGTGCGGTAAGTACCAGTTTAAGTTAATAAAAAAAAAGATGGGCAAGTGGGTGTCGCTCTGCTGTATAGTAGGTTACAAGTGTGTCGCTGTAATGGATTGTAATAAATTTGAATTCAATGATATAATATAAAAGTATAAAATATACTATAATATAATAGTATAAAAACGATTATGATCGAAGACGGTCAGTCAACCTATGATACTATACTAAGTATATTTGATGATCTTAGTGTGAATAAAGTAATTTATATATAACATATTTACGGGGAACCTTAAATTAAATTTTCAATCCTTAGCTATAAAAGTTTTTTTAAATTTTTAAATTTATTTTAATTCGTCAAAATTCGATCTTTAAATGCTTATAAAAAAATATTGTGCCTATGTATTTTTAATATTTTTCACATCCTATTGTACCAATATATTAGGAGCCTTGTATTAAATTTTCACGCTTGTTGGCCCAACAAATAAAATTTTATTGATATTCATAAAAATAAAAAAATAGCGGGTAAGTGGATGTCGCTCTGCTGTATATTAGGAGATCGTAGAGTGGTAATCGGAAAAAAAAAGTCCCGGTAAAAAAAGTCCCACACTAGGAAAAAAAAGTAAGTTGTGCTTTGTATTTGACTTATTTTGATTCTTATTATGTAAATGGTACCTATAGGCGTGTAGGTTCAGCTTCTACCTTGCATTTTCGAAAAATTTCACCTATATTTCACCTTCCTCGTGGAATGTACATATAATGCCACTTTAGTAGGGGGGCATCGAGCAAATAATATGACAGAAGGATGGAATAACCGATTTTCAAAACTTTGTGGACATAAGCATCCAACTATTTGGAAATTAATAAGAAAAATAAAAATGGAAATTTCCGTAGATGAAGCAAAATTAGCTTTAGATGCTATAGGAGTCGAAAAGTCTTAAAAAACTAGGGCAAACTCGGACAGTAGAAAAACGTCTGAAAAATGTATGTATACAAATACAAGCAGGCAATATCGGTGTATAGATTTCTTAACAGCCGTAAGCCATAATATAAGGAAGAGGTGTACCTAATTATTATTTTATTATATGACTTTTTATGTAACTTTTCAATACAATTTTACCATATTTATTATTTATACTTAAATTTTGATATATTTTCATTCATTTTTATCGGGACTTAGTATTAAATTAAATTAAACTATATTTTAATATGTCATTTAAGTAAGTAATTAACACTTTTTATGTATTTATATATTTATCAGGACTTTTTTTTCCTAGTGTGGGACTTTTTTTACCGTGATTTTTTTACCGGGACTTTTTTTTCCGCGATTCTCGTAGAGTAGGTTACTATATTGGATGTGTTAAATTTGAATCCAATAATGGGTATCATTGTACACGAAAAACGATAGTGAACGGAGATGATGTGTCATTCTAGGATATATATTATTATATTACCTATATTTAAATTGTAATATAAATTAAAATTCAAACGCTTATAAAAAAAAATTGTGCCAATGTATTTTGAAAAATTTTTAATAACTCATAGATTAACTTATGTAGAATCTTCTATTAAATTTTTAAGTATTTTGGCTCAGCCAAAAAAAAATTAAACGAAATTTATAAAAAAAAAATTTAAAAAATCAAATATTTAAAATGCCTATAAATAGCTGAAGAATCAACGAAATATTTTAAAAAAAAAATCGTGTGAAAAAAATGTCACTTTAAACAAGTGGTGGAAGTTTCAAATTTCTACTTCTTATACTTTTTGAATAAAAATAAATATCAAAAATCGTTTAAGACTAAATCGTTGTTTTACGTGATTTCGTGAAAGTTTAAATTTAAAACGTTCATAAAAATTTTATCAATTTTGTCAAAAACTGGTTTTGCGTAAAAATTACCGTTTTTCTCCAATTTTTTTTTTTGTTTTCCACGACGCGTTCGAAAACTATTGAAAAAATCACTTATCCGTAAACAGCTCAAAATAAGTCAAAATATTTTAAAAATGTTATGGCGTGTAGAAAATGCTTACGTAAACTAAACACTCAGTCAAAATTTCATGCATCTGCAGTAATTCGTTTTTTGAATTACAACAAAATAAGAAAATCGCTATACATGAGAACTTCAAATGATCATAAAAATTAATTTTGACTTAAAATATGACTGATAGAATACCCGTACGAAAAACGCAACGTACAATTATAATTATATAATATAATTATTTTGATATGATATTCAATTAAATTTCATTAAATTTTGTAGAATATAATACAATAATATAGATAGCCGTATAAAATAGACGTGCGGGCCGCCCGTTGCTGGCATGGTAAATTAAATTAAGGAATTAATTTTACCTTCCTCAAAATAAAATATTTAGTTTATTCGTGTTTTAATAATTTTTGAAATTTAATTTTTATATAGTTGTTCATACTTTATTATTCAAAATGAATAAAGCCAAAAGGAGAGACTGGGACACCAAAACTTCTTTGCAACTAATTGATGAGTTTAGGCTACAAGAAGTACTTTGGAATCCAACAAATCAGTATTATTTTTCTAAAAATAAAAAACATGATGCGTGGTGTCACCTAGCAAAACAATTTGATACTGATATAGAAGAAGTGAAACTAAAAATTCAAAGCATTCAGGGGTCTTATCGTCGGGAAAAAGCTAAAGTGAAAAAAAGCCTTGGAACTGGAAAAGGTAATATACTGCATTTACATAATATCGAGGACTTAGTGCACACTTGTTATAAGTCACATAATTGAAATTAACTTCAAAACATATGTGGTTTCTTTTTAATGTATAAGTTGAATTCATGTAATATTCATTCACTTACCTGATGTAATAGCATTTTTAAAAAAAAATGTATGGACTTATAACAATTACCTTTTGTAAACATATTATAATAGTTTATAATAGGTAATATATAAATTGAAATATTAAACAGTTTAATTTAATTATTTTTTATTTATAGGAGCTAATGAAATATTCCGTTCAAGTTGGTATGGTTATGATGCAATGAGTTTTTTAAAAGAGAGAGATGATCCAAGGCCGACAATTAATTCAGAAAATGTAAGTTTTCGTATATAGGTATAAATAATAAGTAATAAATAAAGTTAATTAGAATCATTGCATATTTTACTTACTTACCAAAATAATATTAATGTCTGAGTACATATTGTAATATTCTGTTTTATATAACTACGATGTTCTTTAGTAGGTATTAGTTGTTATAATTACATTTTACATATTTTTATAAATATTATTTTTTTCCAAACTTAACTTATTTTTATTAGTTTTATATAAGCTACAAGATATTAACCTAACCTACAAACAAAAAAAATACTCTCATATATACAAATTAAGCATTTTGCCACGGTAAACTTCCATCTGTTAAAAAATAATCTGCAAATTGTTCCCTTATTTCTTGTGCATTAAGAGGAGGTCGGCGAGGTATATTTCTTATAGGTAGTAGTGATGATGCATTTTCCCCTCGTCTCCAACTTCCATGTATTATCTGGCCTTCTTCTTCTCTATCAAAAGTTCCTGGTGGATTGTATATATTTTTAGACGTTTTACTTTGTCGCAAAAAGTTGTGTAGATGAACAATTGCCATGACAACAATTTGGGCTCTTTCGGGTTCCAATAAAAGAGGTTTCCTTAATACTCGAAAAACTGCAGATGAAATTCCAAACACGTTTTCAACAGTTCTTCGAGCACGACTTAAACGGTAATTGAAAACTCTTTCCTTTGATCCTACATTATGTGTCCCAGAATATGGCTTCATAACGTTAGTTGTTAAGGCAAATGCTTCATCTGAAAGAATCACATATGGCAAGTCAATGTTTTTTCCTGGCAATGGCATCGGGGGTGGTAAGTTCAAATTCCCTCTTTCGATTTTTCTAAATAGTTCACTATTTTTGAATACACCTCCGTCCGATATCCTTCCTTGACATCCAACGTCGACAAAAAGGAAATTATAATCTGCATCAACTAATGCAAACAGAACAATACTAAAAAAAGACTTATAGTTGTAGAATTCACTACCACTATTAATTGGAGATTGTAAGACTACGTGCTTTCCGTCCATTGCTCCTATACAATTTGGATAATTCCACATTGTTCCAAATCGTTCAGCAATTCTTAGCCATTCATTTGGAGTAGAAGGCATCTAAAGAAAATAATTTATTATACTATTAATTTAACTTAAACAGTTTTGCATACCTAGATAAAATGTATTGAAAATTAATATAACTTTTAAACATTTTTTAAAAAATACGTCGTTGAAAAATTATTAAAACAAGCTTTTTAAATAGTATCATGTTTAGATGAAATATTTTAATTCATTTTCACAGCTTATAAAAATAAAGCAATATCAATCCGTAACTCCTGTCTTAACGTTTGATAAATTTTATAAGGCAAATACATCTCTGCTGTATAGTAGTTGTCGAGCATGTCTACCGGGTACGTTATAATATGCTGATCTCAAAAATCGGAGCATTTTACTACCCCAAATGTTGATGAGATAATTTTTATTTTTAAAAATAATTAGGAAAAAAACAAAAATAAATATAACTTAGGGTTATTATAACTCAGAATCGTATTTTTTATTATCACAGTAACCTACTCAATTATGAGGTACACTAAAACCCTACTAGTTCTCGATTGTTTATTAATAAAATTAATAATTAATTTTATTTACTAATGGTTAATCATTTTACATGTATTAATTATAAATATATTTTATTTTCAGCTACAAAATGAAGTTGAAGTAGCTTCTTCTGACTATAGCTACAGTTATTATAATGATAACCTTTCGTTGGACATTTCGGAAATACAAGGGCCATCAACACAGCAATTGTCGCCAGCGCAAAATGAAATAGTGCCACCACCCAGCAGGAAAGATAGTGTTGATGAAATTATTAGTCCTGGGAATCCAAATCAACCACGAAAAAAGAATAAGAAAAACTCAACCAATACAATTGATCATAAAATTGATGAAGCGTTCAACATTCTGAAGAGGTCTGCGTCAAGCTTTGAGTCAAATTCATCCGATGAATGTACAACATATGGTGCCCATGTAGCAAACAAAATAAGATCTTATCCACCACACACTCGATCGATCGTCCAACACTATATTAATAACATACTTTTTGACGCGGACATGGGAAGATATGATTACTATTCTGCAAACCCACATATTCTTTTTCAAAATCCAGTACCACAAACAAATCTAAGTTCCTATAACTTGAATACTCATATAGACCCTTCAAACCACTCTTCATCAAATTCGGTTGATACACCAACGGAGTTTTTATCTGAGTCTACGTCATCTGTATTAGATCTAGGTAGTCATCTGACATAGAATTAAATAAAAATATAAATTGCTGGGTACTTGTAAATATCGAGAAAAACAATTGTGTAAAAATAAGAAATTTTATAATGATATATTGCTTGGTAATTTTTTGCATGACACCGACAATATTTAAGTGTGGTAATTTTCTGATTTAAAAATGTATATTCAGAGATTTGTCTGTATAAAAGAATTTTTTTTATAGATATTTATTATTTTTATTATTATGAGTTTATGAATGTTAAATTGTTAACCCAAAGGATATTTCAAAAGTTGTTTTTGTTATTTTTTTTTATAATAGGCATGTTTTTAAAAAGTAATCGTTTTTTGTTAATAATTAATATTGTTTGTTTCTCAGTTTTTAAAGAATGTTGATTAGTTGATTAAATTAATGATAAAATTGACTCCAGTTAAAATATATTATACTTTTTATTGAACTTACCTTTACATATGTCTTCAATACTTTAACAAGTGCGCTACAAACTTCTGGAATTATAGTAGAAATGATCTGTTTAGAAATTTTAAACAGATATTGCAAGCTACTATACGAATCTCCTGTAGCAAGAAATCGTAACGTCACTGCTAATCGTATTTGGACTGTAATAGCAGGTCTCATATTAGTATTTTGTTTGTATATAAGTGGGCCAACAAGGCAAATTATTTTTTCAAAATCTTCTGAAGACATTCTGGTGAAATTTTGAAAGTGAAATACATTTACGTCATTTTTAATACTGTTTATCATGTTGGAGCCTCTATCTTCGTTATCTCTATAAATTTGTGACATCCACCATCGTCTTTTACGAACATTTTTTTTTTCTTTCTTTTTCGCAAGCTCACACATTACGATGAACGCTGCACTTGCAATTTGTAATTGATCACTCATGATTAAACAACAAAAAACACGATTTACGTTTCCACTTTTCAGTTTAAAAAAATGTAGAGTATAACTTAGTTATTACTTAGTTCAATTAAAATGTAAACACCTTTAAACATAAAGTAAACTCGATTACATTCTCGCATGGCGTATAGTCTACTACTGAAAAAAGCGCAGGGAAAAATCTGGGATTTGGTCGAATAACCACGCATGGGTTGTGTGTGCGACGCACGATGTCCACACGAAAGAATACATTCTTCCACATGCTCATGCGAGCTTGTTCGTGTTCGAAGGTGCTCACTTTGTTCGCCACACAATGTGCGCTCGTGTGTACATACCTTTAGATTTCCAACTGACGAACGTCGTCTTCAGTGGGTGGAATTCGTGGTGAACCAAGGTTTTCCTGTAAACCTAACCTCTACGTTGTGTTCGAGGCATTTTGTTCCTGGCCTTGACTACAGACAGGAGCATACGCGAAGCCGTTCTCTGTTCCATACAGCAGTGCCATCTTTGGTGAGTATCTACATATCAGACATACATCTCCAAGCATCACAACTCATTCATTTCAAACACAACCATAACACTGTATTACAATACATATTGCTTACCTACCTAACTACCTACCTGGCAGTACAGCAAAACATACACTTTTTGATGGATAAACAATAACAAAAGGGTCTACGCTAGAGCACGATGATATATTGAATATGTTAATTTTATCCTACAGTTGTTGAATTATGCAATATCCACCTATTTCATTACAAATGTTTTATTACTCTATATAGCTCATTAACTTCACTAACACTCTTATATCCTTATAGTTTAGGAATAAAAAATTTACATACCTACCACCAAAATATTTACTTTTGTTAACAATATTTTACATTCAAATACAATTACACTATTATTTAATAGAAAATTTAGTGTATTCTATTTAGTGTATTCTATATTAAGTTAAGTTTAACAATATTGTACCTATTAATGTCATCAGATGACTTTTCACTTACAAATTCCATGTGATCTATATACTATAGTTACTATAACCATACTTAACTATACTTAACTATTACAATAGTCAATTAACTTTGCCCATCATTTATAATAACTCACATATAACAAAATACATTACATATTATTTAATTATTATAGGTACTTTTCACATACAACACATATATCTTCATTGTCTTTGACGATTCAATTTATTCTACATTAAGTTAAGTTCAACAATACTGTATTAATATTATTCAGATAACTTTTTTCACTTAAAAATTCCATGTGATCTTTTTTCTCTTAAAAATTCCATGTGACATTATAAACTGTAATTACTATAACCATAGTTAACTACTCCAATAGTGAATAAACTGTGCTCATAATTTATAATTTGTTTGCTTATTTAACTTTACTTACAATTCATTTTTTTTAATATATATTACATTAAACTAAACTCAACGATACTATATACGAATGATGACACGATGTTATATGACACAAAAATTATTTGTCACCACAAACCTTATGTAATTTAACAAATTTCTTTTTTTTTTTGTTACACCTCAACCTTAATATTTATAAACTGCAATTCCATTTTCTTACATAGAAAATCAATTAATAAATTGGGGCATGTATGGTTTGGTACATTCTACAAACTACAACATTTTTTGATTACATTGCATTACACTTTTAATTGACATCAAAGTTAATGACTTAATAACTATACTATATTGTGACGCGTACTCGTGGGCCGCGTGGGTGATGATGTGCTTGTGGTGATCGACGGTGAGCAGTCGAGTCGGAAAACAAACAGCGAGGTACAAAAATACGACACCAAAGAAACAAATAACGCACTGACAGGTGATGGTTGTGACTTTTATTGGTTCAGCAGTTACTGTCAATATTCAATATAATCTAATACAAAATAAAAACAAGAGAAATATCGAATCCGCGAGTTCGTGCAAAAGACGGCGGCGGTCAGTGTCGGTCGGAGTCGTGAAGACGAGAGAGCGCGCCTTGGCGATCCGGTTCGCTGGACGGCCGGCCGACGGTTCCAGGCGCGCGTGTCGCGCGCCGGCGTCGTCCGTCGTCGGTTGGCGGTTTGATTGAGAAGCCGCGGCGCGGCTTCCGCGCAAAGGCTGTTTGAATTCAAACAGATTTTGCGCGGGACCGCGTCATACTCCCCCCCCAAACCGCCAACGGCGTTGGTTTTCCGGCCGTTGCCAGCGGTCTGCGTTGTCATGAGTGGTGGGTGGTTGTGGTGGGTCAGTGGGTGGATGGTGGTTGTGGTAGACACCTGTCCGAGGGTACGTTTTCCGGCTGTGTTCAGCGGACGTAGCCCTGGCGGTGTCTAATCGCGTTTCGGCGATGTGGGGGGGCTGTAGTACAGTAGACTGACGTCCATGTCCTCTTGGTCAGCCAGGTGTGTGCCCGTACCTCCTAACAGCTGTGCCTCCTCCTCCGGGGATATTTCCATATCCTCGGGTTGAGGGGTGGCAGCCGCTAGTTGATCCGTGGCTCCGGTCGCTCCGGAAGTGTGTGTCACTTCCGGTACCGTGACCACGGTGAGGTGCGGGGACGCTGGCCCTGGCTGTGACAGGACCGTCTCTGGGCCTGGGGCTGGGGGTGGTGCCGGCTTTTCCAGGCGGTGTTGTTGGGATGCCTGTTGTTGTTTGGCCCTGTGGTCCCGCTTCCGCTGCTGGTTCCGGCGTTGGCGGGCGTTCAGCGTTACTGCAGGTGGTGTTGCCGGTGCGGTTGCCGCTTGTGTCGGGGGTGGCGGCGGCTTGAAGGTGGATGTTGCTGATGGCCTGGTCGCTGTCCTCGGCGCTGGAACTGGCCACTCCATCAGCGGCCTTGGTGGTGGCCTCTCGGGTGCCCGCGTCGGCGTCCGTGGCTGCGCCTTTTGGGTGTTGGCCGGTACCTGTGCCACCCGTCTGGGGCTTCGCGACCTGGTGTGTCGTGCGGCCGCCGTGGGTGCGCCGCTTGTCGCCCTTTTGAACACGGCGGTGCGGTCCTCCCACCCTCGTTGGTAGGCCGCCCACAGTACCGGGTCCCGCTGGAGTTGAGCATTGGTCATCCGCCATACCCTGGCCGCCGTGGTGACTGTCGTGCCCTCCTCCAAAGTGGCTGCCCTCAGCAGCTCCTGGCTGCGTTCCAGAAGTGCCGCCGCTTCTTGGAGGGTGGAGGGTGTGGCCGGCCGTTGTGGTTGGTCCATTTGGTGGTGTGATGCTAAGCCGACTGAAATTGAGTACATAAAGATGCTATTGAGTGTTTATGGTGTGGGGGGTTTGGGTGGTGGTTGTTGGGGCTCTGTTGTGTTCGCCCGTTTGAGGCAGGACACGTGTATTTTGCGTGCCGGCTGTTGGTCTGTGATGAACACCCCTTTGCCTACGCGTTTATGTAGTTTCACCGGTCCCCACCATTTCGGTGCGAAGCCGGCGTGAAACTTTTTGTGCGCGCTTGACAGGTGGTGTGCCTTGTAGTACACCGTGTCACCTGTTTTGTACTTTGTGTCCGTCGGGCCACCTGTTGCCGGTGGTGCGGTAAGTACATTGTTTTCGCGCCTAGCCCTGTCCATATTTATTTGTTCGATCGGGTTTTCCGCTGTCCGCGACAGTATCCAGTCCCCCGGCCTTTTGCCCTCTCTCCCGAGGACGAGTACCGACGGTGGGTATCCTGTCCGGTCGTTGCGCCTGTTCCTGATCGAAAAAAGTATGGGGGCTAATTTGGTGTCCCAGGTGTTGTGGTTGCCATTGGCGAGTAGCGCGCGTAGCCCTTTTTTTAATTCTTGGTTACGGCGTTCGACTGGGTTGGCCCTCGGGTGATATACCGGAGTTGTCCAGCCCTCGGCTCCCCACTGTTCGATCGCTTTACGCATATCGTTTGCTACGAACTGTGGGCCGTTGTCGCTTAAGCACACACGGGGGTATCCGAAACGTGAAAAGAATTCTCGTTCGAGCGTTTCGGTTATTGTTTTTGTAGTGGCTGTTCCGAGGGGGTATGCCTCGGTCCACCTACTAAACAAATCCGTGGCGACCAGTATATATTGTTTTCCCTTACTCGTGCGCGGGTAGGGGCCCATGAGGTCTATGCTTACCACCTCCCAGGGGTGTCGGGGTACTCTGGTGGTCGCGGGGCCGTCTGCGCGCGTGTTTAGTGGTTTGGTACACGCGCATATGTGACACGACTCGACGTACAGTCGGATGTCGTTTTTTTGTCCTTTCCAAAAAAAACGTTGTTTGACCACCCTGTACGTTTCTTTCCAGCCCGGGTGGTTTGCGAGTACGTGATCGTGGTAAGTCCAGATCACGTTCTGCGTGTTGGTTTTTGGGATGACTACGGGTGTGTGTTCGCCCAAATTTATCCGGAGAAGACCGTCGGTAAAAATGAATTGTTTGTTTTTTCCCGAGGTACCTCCGGTATTGCGCGCTGGGTCGTCCGTTGTCATGTTGTGCGTTATGTCTCGTGTGTTGGGGTCATTGGCCTGCCATGTCACGAGCATAGCGTGTGTGATTGTGGGGTGACTAGTGGTGTTAGCCGGGTTCGTCGTGGCGAACAGATTGTCGGCCGGTGTACTAGTAGTGGTGACGAGTGGTGAGGTGGGTACTCCTACTAGTCGTTCCTCGAGGTGTTCCTCGTCTACCGGGGGCCCGGTAGTCGGGTTGCGGGAGAGCATGTCCGGCGCTTCGCTCTGTACGCCGGGCACATGCGTGGTTTTGTAATCCAGGTTGGCCAGCTGTAGTGCCCACCTGGTTAATTTTGAGTTTGTGTTTTTGGCTCGGTGGAGCCACGTGAGTGCTGAGTTGTCTGTGTATAGGTCAAACCGGCGTGCCTCCAGGTATGGTCTAAACTTATCGGTTGCCCAGATTATCGCGAGGCACTCGCGTTCTACCGCGGCGTACCTTGTTTGCGTATCACTAAACTTTTTGCTTGCGTAGGCGATTATCCGCCTTTCGTCCGGGCTGTCACCCCGTTGGAAAAGGACGGCACCCGCTCCTATCTCGCTAGCATCAGTCTGTAGGCAAAACGGTTTTCCGTAATCCGGCGTCGATAATTTAGGCGAATCGTACAGGGCGCGTTTTATTTTGGTAAATGCCGCCTGTTCGGTTTCGGTCCACGACCATTTGGTTCCCTGTTTGAGTCTATTTGTTAGGGGCGCTATGGTGTCCGCGTAGTTGTCGACAAACTGGCTGTACCAGTTGCAGACGCCCAGGAATTTCCGTAGGTCCCTCAGCTTTGTTGGTGGCGGGTAGTTAATGATGCCCTCTAGTTTCTCCGGTTGTTTGTCTATACCGTCGGAGGTGACTAGATGTCCAAGAAATGAGATTTCGGTCGCTCCGAATCTGCATTTCTCGGGGTTGCATGTCAGCCCGTGTCTCTGTAGACGTTCTAAAACTTTGTCTAAGTGGCACTGGTGTTCATCCGTAGTGTTCGAAAACACCACTATATCGTCTAGATATACGCGGACGAACTCGTCCAGGTACCCCCTCAAGACTTCGTCCATTAGTCGCACAAAGGTCATGGGGCTGTTTTTGAGGCCGAAGGGGAGGGACTCGGAATTGGTATAGGCCCCGACGCGTCCGGAACGCCGTGTATTTTCGCGCGTCCTGTTTAAGTGGTACTTGCCAGTACCCTGACTTAAGGTCAAGGACGCTGAACACTTTTGCCCCTCTCATCTGACGTATCAGCGTGTTGAGGTCGGGCATTGGGTAAGCGTCGGACTCAGTGATGTCATTGAGCCGCCTATAATCAATGCACAGTCGGGGTGAGCCGTCTTTCTTTTTTGCTAAGACGATGGGTGCGGCCCACGGGGATGTGCTTTGTTCTACCAGTCCCTGCTCCTCCATGTCCCGTATCATGGTATCGATTATGGCCTGTTTTACCGGTGGATAGGGATATGGTTTGAGGGCTATGGGTGTGTGATTTTTGAGGAGGATGTCGTGTTCTATTAACCTGGTGCGGCCTACCCTACCGTTGAATACGTCCGGATAGTTACGTACTACTTCGGCGAGTTTCGCGCGTGTGTGGTGGTCACCGTTTATTGTTAATTTGTCGACATCTAGTGCTGGGCTGGGGGTGGGTATCCGACCTTTCCAGCACGCTGTTGTTCTCCTATTCGAACCTAAATGAATAGTGCTCGTTGTGTAGTCCCAGGTGACTTCGTTTTGTACGAGAAAGTCATGACCTAGGAGCATGTCGCAGTATAAATTGTCCAGAATGGCTGCGTTGAAGGTGACCGTGAGGTCTCCGATTCTGGCTACAAATGTGGAGGTACCACTTGTCAATGTGGTGTGACCATCCGCCATTCGTACCTGAGTTTGTTGTCCGTGGTGGGGGGTGCCAAATTTTTGTGCGGTGTTCGGGCTTACATACGATTTTTGTGCTTGGGAGTCGAGTAGAGCTGTTACGGGGCCTGACCTAAATTCGAGTTCGACCGCGGGGGTCGGAATTTTGTCGGGGCATACTCGTTTAGCGTTATTCGACGTTGGTGGTGATGTATAGCTGGATAACTGGTTCTTAACCGCGATATCGGTGTTCTGGGGAGCGGTTTGCACCGCCATTACCAGAGCATCCGTTTCGGTTACCTCTGTGCTATGTGTATGTACTGTATGTGTACCTGTTAATTTCGTAGTAGGGGTCGTTGATGCGGACCTTTGGGGTGCCGCGTGGTGTGGTGATGGTGACCTGCTACTTAACGAAATTGTTGATGTTTGGACGGGTGATATATGTGAGGACGCCGAGTTTATCGATGTGCGTTTGATGGTTATATCCCCGTCTGTAATGCCGAGCGTTGTGTGTGGTGGCGTGGTTGTGTGTGTGTGTGTGGTGGAGGCGGCGGTGTGGACAGGTGTCCGCAGACTCATTTCCCGTTTCCCGAACGCGGTGTGTTCCCGGGGCAGTCACTGTTCCAGTGAGGACCTCCACAGTATCTGCACGGGTTGGGCGGTTGCGGCTTGGCTGCGGTACCGTCCCGTGTTCGCGTTTGGTGCGTTGGTTGGGGCGGGCGGGTTTGGGAAAATTTTTTTTGCGCCGGTTTCGGCTGTGGGTGTGTCGCTGGTTCGTCAGGTGTGTACTCCAGGACTCCAGCGATCCGGCGGAGGTCTCCGAAAGTCGCTGGTCTTTGCAATCTTATGTGCGTGCGGTATTCGTTGCGCGTTAGTCCGGCTATCGTACCTACTAGCTGTGTTTCAGATAGTCCGGTGTTGACGCGGCGTGCAAGTTGATTTTTTTGCGTTACGAACTCCGTTAGCGACTGCGTTGGTGTTTGTCGGACGGATACTATCTCTGCCCGCAGCCGTGACTGAATTTCCACATTGTCGAATTTTTCTAAAAATTCGGCGCGGAACTCGTCCCAGGTGACGTCCAGTAGTCTGATGGTGTTCCACCAGGTACTGGCTGCACCCTTTAGTTGCTGTGCGATAATATTTGTCCAGGCCGACCTATCTATACGCGTTTGGTACATTATCGACTCCGCTTTATGGATAAATCTTGCCGGGTCCTCAGGTGTTGTCCCGTGGTACTCCGGCAGCGAATGTCTCGCTGCACATACGTCGTCGTATGGTATCAGCGTCGATTGTTGTGCCGCGTAGGTGTATGTGGAGGAGGGGGCATGGTGTATATTTGTTGTGTCGTCGAAACGTACTGAATGATCGGCGCGGTGGTTACCCGCGGACGGCGGTTCTCGTGCCGCGGGGTACCTCGCTCCGTATTCCGTGTTGTTCGATAACACTGTGTGGTGTGGGCGGATCGGTGGGGTTGCCTCCGGTTGTTGTTCCGGTGCTTGGCGTGCCATACCCATCTCTAGGCGTCGCATTGTCTCTGCAATGCGACGTTGGTCTTCGCCAAAGCGGGCCATACAGTTCTCGAGCATGGTCAGTCGCGATTCCAGACCGCAGCCATGCGCCGAGTTTTCCACCGCTTGCCGTACCTCCTTTATTATGGTACGACCCGTTTGGATCATACCCATAGTTTGTTGGTGTGTGGGTGTGGTTGATGGTTGGGGTTTTGTGCTGTTGGTGGTGATCTGGGATGGGGCGTGTGTTGTCTCGATCTGTATTTGCGCGGTTTGACTGGCGTCGGGTACCAGACCTGTGGCCGAGCTCTGTCCGGTGTGCCCAGTGGGTTCCATAGGCGGGAACCGGATTTCGTTGGCCTGCAGGTTCATGTCCGCGAAATGTTGTGTTAATCGGATTTCGAGATCACCCTTCGCGCCCGTATCCGATAAACCGCGCTGTCCGCATTCGTAGCGCATTTCCGCGGCGGTCAATTCATTAATATATTTTCCCGGCATGACTTCCGGTTGGTTTTCCGGTGTTGTTGACGAGAAATTATAAAATGTGGCTGTTGTCGTTGGAACGGGTATCGCGTTCCTTCGATCAGCTGTGTTGCCCGCTTATCGGTGTTTATTTGCGTACGGAATGTAGGTCAGTGGGTTATTATTGTTATTGTTGCGCTTGCCGGGCGAATCACAGTAACCGGTCTTCGCAGAGTGTTTTCGCGGATGCGCGTGTGTGCGTTATCCGGTGCACTACTGCGATTAGGGAAGGCGGCGGCTGTCGCTTTAAGCGGCGGCGGCGGCAGTCCGATTACGTGGTATTTTTGTCCCGGGTAATCGCGTGTTGACGTTGGCGGGTGGTGGTGCTAGGCGGTGGTGGTGTGACCCTCTCGCGCTCTTGCGTTCCTACCTAATGCCTACCTACGTCGTGTGTGTTTGGTGCGTCGCACGCGGTGCGGTCGGTGCGTCCGTGAGTCGGGCGGCGCGGCCGGTCGTTACGTCCTTTATGGTTATGTAATATATTACGTAACGCCGGTTTTTCCGTTACCGCCTGCAAACCACGTTTTTGCCAGATCGCGTTGGTGACTTTTTTCCAAAACGCGCAACGGGGGTTTATTTGGGGGTGGTAGTATGTGGTAAGAAAGTTTTCACTTACCGGTGATTCCTGTTCGGGGAGCCAGTTGACGCGTACTCGTGGGCCGCGTGGGTGATGATGTGCTTGTGGTGATCGACGGTGAGCAGTCGAGTCGGAAAACAAACAGCGAGGTACAAAAATACGACACCAAAGAAACAAATAACGCACTGACAGGTGATGGTTGTGACTTTTATTGGTTCAGCAGTTACTGTCAATATTCAATATAATCTAATACAAAATAAAAACAAGAGAAATATCGAATCCGCGAGTTCGTGCAAAAGACGGCGGCGGTCAGTGTCGGTCGGAGTCGTGAAGACGAGAGAGCGCGCCTTGGCGATCCGGTTCGCTGGACGGCCGGCCGACGGTTCCAGGCGCGCGTGTCACGCGCCGGCGTCGTCCGTCGTCGGTTGGCGGTTTGATTGAGAAGCCGCGGCGCGGCTTCCGCGCAAAGGCTGTTTGAATTCAAACAGATTTTGCGCGGGACCGCGTCAATTGTGCATTGGAAACAAATAGAAAATAAAATATTATTACCATGTTATTGTTTCACAATAAATACACTATTGTATATTTGGTTCAGTCTAGAATGAACCGTTCTTATAAATCATTTAAATTAACCGTCTATGATTCTATAGGTAGTCGGACCATACAGAGAACGAGAAGATCATGTGGAAAACGTCGATGCCGGTGTACAAGTTCCGAGGGATGAACTTTTGTTGGAAGACAACATTGAGGTAGTTGAAGTCATGATGGACAATGACAACGTTGAGGTAGTTGAAGTCATGATGGACAATGACAACGTTGAGGCAGAAGAAGTCGCGGTGGACGACGACAACGTTGAAATAGTTATCGTGAACGGAGACGAACAAGTATCAGACAATGATAACTTTGTTGGTGTTTTCGACCTTTCACCACTGTACGACATTCAAGAGGTCAGTATATATTTTTTATAAATTATATTATTCATTTTATGTTCATAAAGGAAAAAAATAATATACAACCGTGTCTTTTAAATTTCAGGTTGAACAAATCGCCCCGGTTGTCGCTAGACTGTTGGTAGACCGTCCGGCTGGCGTTCAGCACCCACTACCGGAACCACACTACATAGGCGCGTTGAATTACGTATGCCGGTATTGTAGGGCCCGCCACTTTAAGTGCGAGGAAACAAGCCCGAATAATTTTTCTACATGCTGCAACAACGGTCTGATGGCCGTTTCAGGACCGCGTGTGTTGACACCTGCACCGTATTTACTACAGAGGTTGTTGGTTGAAGATTCGGTAGAAGGTAGACACTATAGAAATAACATCCGCCGGTACAACAACACTTTGGCTTTTGCTGCATTCTCCACCGCCTTCAACACACGGCGCTTGCCAGGTCGGGGACCCAATGTGTTTACTGTTCATGGGCAGGGATATTGGACGATAAGTAATGACTTGATCGGGAACGAACCTATCCAACGCAGATTCTGCCAGCTGTATTTCGTCGAATCCGGAGAGGCAAACCGGATTCGTAGGGAGCAGCAGCAACTACTGCCTGCCGCACAACGTCTATTGCCAAGTGTGCTCGAAGACTTAGACGGCCTGTTACGGGGCATCAATCCATTCGCACAGGCTTTCGAGTAATATATTTCATTAATTTTACTGAACAAGCCACATTTCCATTACGCTACACTACAGACAAACCATGTTAACATTGAAATATTTAGTTAGCTAGCGAGTACACATGTCACTATTCCAATTTCCAATTGTAATAATTAATTATACTATTTCATTAGCCTTATGTTAGTGTACATTTACCTGCCTATTTACACTATTCATTTATACATTTTTTTACTTTGCTTGCATTCATAAATTTTCAATTAGTTACAAAGTAGTTTACTTTAATGAGTAATAACTAGAAAAACATTAATTCTTATTCACAATCTCATTATTGCCTATCTCATTATTGCCTAAATATTATATAAATAACGTTTGGTCACAAATTAAAAGTTTATTTTATTTTGTTCAGATTCAGTTATGGATACAGATTTATTTCTCTTAAAAGTATTAAGATACTTGGTAGGTATATGGAAAATTCTATACATACACTGCTACACTTCAATGTATGACACAACGTTGGTGCTATACACTACACTATTGCATTGTCACACCTCATTTTTAACTCATCACTAACTTACAACCAATCTTACTCGCTCATGCCACACTTACTTTATACTTACCATAGACACTTCACTTAACATAAAGTATAACTTATTTAAATTGCGTTACTGATGTCTCCGATTGTGATTAGATATTGGTTTTTTTCTATTTCATTTATACCTATGCTTACATTTCTATACATTATTTTCTTTTTTCTGTGTGCGCATTATGTGGGTACACTACTCCTATGTACAAAACTCAACTTCTACTTGAATATTTCTCATTTCATTTCAAATGAACACAAACACAAGTGACTAGAGTTAGAGTTAATGATTTCTATTACTTTTGTTTGTGTTCCTTATGTACTTTAATACACTTCAATTCAATGTATCTAAACAAACATTTGGTATTAGACATTGTAATATGTTTTGCATTATGCTACTCTCTGTCATTTTTTTACACTACCACATCACTCTTTGTTGATGTTATGTGTGAGGATTAATTAAATAGGACTCTGACATTGACATTTCTGAGAACATTAACAATACACCAATATATGCGCTACAAACATGTACCTATTGCACAACGATTAATAAATTTCAATTTTGTACAATAAATCATAAGCCCGTGTCACTTCGTTACAGAACCATGCGAGAAGTGTGGGCTAGAGAAAACGCTCCTGACAGAGATCCTCAGTTGCTTCCAAGGAGGGTGAGAATGCATTTTGTCACCGAAGGAAATGTGGACAGGAGGCGATACAACCCACCACCTGAAACTGTCAACGAAGTCGCAGTAGTGTTTGTCGGTGATGACGGTCAACCGCCAACAGACGTCGATCTGGTAATCCACGATCGGAATCCGATTGACCCGCAACATCGCCGGCTACAGACCATACCAGCCGGGTCTTCAAACGCGGATCCAATGCTGTATCCCCTACTCTTCCCACGAGGAGAGCTGGGTTGGCATCAACGTTTGCTACAAGAGGGCCCTCGCCGAACCCCTGTTCGCAATCGGAACAGTATCAGGGAGTATACTTGCTATCGTCTTGCTATTCGTTACAATGGCAACAACGACACAATCCACGATGCTATGAGTTTATTACATAATGGTCGATATCTGTTGCAACAGTTTGTGGGTGATCATTACGTTAGAATGGAAGCGAACAACTTACTGTACATTAGATTTCATCAAGCCGAGCTTTTCGCAGAATCGTATCAGGGACTGGTGGATCACATCAACCAACAGCTCCGAATCGACGCACCCGTGGCGGGCGTCGGCCGTAGGATGATTTTGCCATCGTCGTTCACAGGTGGTCCCCGTTTCATGAAACAGTGTTATCATGACGCGATGGCCATTGTGAGTAAGTGTGGAAAGCCTAATCTTTTTATTACGTTTACGTGTAATCCTAGCTGGCCGGAGATCACAGAGAACCTACCGAGATGGACCACGGCAACCGACAGACCGGATCTGGTGTCCAGAGTGTTCAACGCGAAACTCAAGCAGCTGATGCGCGACATAACGGTGAACAATATATTTGGTAATGTCGATGCATATGTTTATACTGTCGAGTTTCAGAAACGAGGACTGCCGCACGCCCACATACTGATCATTCTGAGCGAGGGCAGCAAGTTACTAACCGCCGACGACGTCGACAATTTAGTGTGCGCCTTCTTGCCAGATCCGGTGACTGATCCACGGCTATTCAATTGTGTGACGAGACACATGGTCCACGGGCCGTGTGGCACGCTGAACCCAAACAGCCCATGCATGGTGGACAACAGTTGTTCAAAGAAGTTTCCAAAAGAGTACAGCGAAGAGACTGTATACATTTCTGACGGCGGTTACCCAAAGTACCGTCGGCCAAACAACGGACCTGTGGCCAGGGTCAGAGGTCAACAGGTCAGCAACGAGTTTGTCGTGCCTTACAATCCATACCTGTTAGCAAAATACGATGCACACATTAACGTAGAGGTATGCTCTACTGTGAAGAGTGTTCAGTATTTGTATAAATACGTATATAAAGGGCACGATGCTGCGACCATGGAATTATGGAACGGAAATGAAATAGACAGGTATGTTAACAAAATGCATTTTTCAATAAGTTAACACATTATATTCTTTCAACTATTGCATTTGTAAACTTCTTTTTGGTTTTCTGGCCTCACTGTGACCTCCTAACCTAACGTACATTGCACTTGCAACTTATGTAAACTTAAATTATTGTACATAAACACAACATAGAACAGCAGAGTATCAACTACTGTTGTTCAATAATTTAGAGTTGTTGTTGAATATATAATATATAATATATAACTTTATATTATTGTTACAAAAAAAAATTGTTTAGAGTATTAGCTTAAAACAACTGCCCACTTAATGCATGATTTCTATTAATTGAAATTCCACTACAGTAGTATCAGCATGGCCAGTTGACAACTGTGTATAACAATCATCATTCATATTATAATGTGTACTCCTCAAGCAATAATTGAATTCATTTTCAATTATTTTTCATTAGTTCAATTCGCTTAACTACATATAATACTCAATCATCTTAATAGTAAAGACATTTTAGGAAAGCCGTTCAGCATAATATAAATTATTGAAACCGGTACTTTGTAAATTAGAAATTTCATATGTATGTTATTCATTTGTTTAATTTGACAAGCAGTTCTCTGTTCAAGCTACAATGACTTAACACTATAGTAGTTGTCCACTAATAACAGTATATATTATTAAGAAATTAATTACATCATATTATTAATTAACATTTATAAATTAAAGAAATAGATTAGATTTTTGAAAGCCATTTAACACTTATTACACTAAGTCTTAATGTCTTAAGTTATGTACATAGAATATAATTGAAATGCAAAAAAAAATTATTTTAAGAAATTATAATATGTATGTACAACTATAACCACTTTTGATTTTACATATTATATTATTATGAATAGATTGACTATTTTAAAAGTTCTGTATTATGTATTATTTTTGTGAACCTTAACTACATTTGAGTTAACCTATAGGTGGTAGGTACCTACCACAATACATTTATTTAAATTTCCTTTTTTTTTATGTATTCTATTGGTTACAAATTGTAAAAATATTAATATATATATATACTGTTATATTGAACCAGATCAACAAAAACAACATTTATCGTATTCTTCTTTATCAACACTGAAATAGTGTTACGCTATACTTTGACATAATTACATTTATTATACATACATCACAAGCAATAGTATTACGACATTTTACTCATGACAATATTTTATATATATGTAATATTGAGATTTTAAATAACTATTGACTTTTTTTTGTACAAATTTCTGTTCTGAATATTTTTGATACATACATACATAAATGTTGTTTTCAGTTACATAAATTCGAGGTACGTCAGCCCACCAGAAGCCGTCTGGAGGTTGTTTGCGTATAAACTACACGACATCAGTCACACGGTAGTTAGACTTCCAGTTCACCTAGAAAACTACCACAACGTGTACTTTGCGCGTGGACGAGAACTACAGGAGGTACAAAACAACGCCCTACCTCGAACAAAACTCACGGCGTTCTTCGCGCTTAACGAGAGAAACGTTGATGCAAGACAGTATCTGTACCACGAGATACCGATACATTACACTTGGCAAGCATCGTCAAGAGAGTGGAGACTGCGGCAAAGACAGGCACGTAGCGAGACGTTGTCTCGGATGTACGTCGTAAACCCACTGGATAGAGACCGTTTTCATCTACGACTGCTACTCTTGCACAGAAGAGGCCCACGGTCTTTCCGAGACTTGAAGACTGTAAACGGGGTCGTGCATGCCACATACGCGGCCGCCGCCATTGCGTTGGGATTGTTGGAAGACGACGAAGGGTGGCGGGCGTGTATGACAGAATCATCGGCGTTGGACACAGCCACTCAACTGCGTTATCTTTACGTCACGATACTATTGTTTTGCCATCCCGCGGACCCCGCGGATCTCTACCGGCGGTTCGAAGTCAACATGATGGAAGACTTCAATCGGCGCTTTCAAAACGTCGACCGCGCGAGGGCGGCGTGTCTCAAAGCAATCGGAGACCTACTTCGTGCACGCGGAAAATCGCTCGACGACTACGATCTACCCAATCCAGACGAAGATCTACTGGGACCGGATCAAGACGACCTAATGATTGGTGCAATAGACGCGGCCGTTGTCTGGCAACAACGATTGCGCGACTTGAACGACGAACAGCGAACGGTCTACGATAGAGTGATGGCGGCCGTCGAAGACAACCGCAACGTCCAGAAAATGTTCTACGTCGACGGGCCAGGAGGCACGCGAAAAACGACGCTATACGGATGCCTAATATCGTCGCTTCGTAACAGACAACGAACTGTGTTGAGCGTGGCATACACCGGGATCGCCGCATCCCTCATGGAGGGCGGCATGACTGTGCACTCGACTTTCGGATTGCCATTGGGAACGCTGACCGAACAGTCTACTTCGAGCATCAAGTTGCAGTCTTTGCGCGCGCAAAGGATACGCGAAGCTTCGCTGATTGTCTGGGACGAAGCGCCCATGTCCCCGGGCATACAATTCACGGTGGTCGATCGCTTGTTCAAGGACATCATGGGATCGGCGCTACCGTTTGGTGGTAAACCAATACTGTTAGCTGGCGACTTCAGGCAGATATTGCCCGTCGTTCGCCGGGGGAACAGGAGCTCCATCGTCATGTCATCTATCAAACAGCACTCATTGTGGAGAGACTTTCAACAGTTTCGGCTGACGAGGAACATGCGCGCCAACAACGACGCCGACTTCGCTGCTTGGCTACTTCAGCTCGGTAACGGTCAACTGCCGTCGGTCGACGGTATTCCGGACACTGTCGAAATCCCACCGCAACTGGTTTGCGACGTTGTGGATTTGACCGATTTTGTCTATCCGCAGCAAATGTCGTTGGCCAACGTCGACGAGTTCGCTCGGAGAATCATACTGTGTCCCCGCAACGAGGAATGCCACCAAATAAATTCCACAGTGCTACGACGCGTCACGGGCGCCCTAATGACGTACTCCTCCATAGACACAGTGGTGATCGACGACACCGACGAAGCGGCAAACTACCAGACAGAGTTCCTCAACGCTCTGCAACCGAACGGGCTACCGCCACACAAGTTGACGCTGAAGGTCGGTTCGATCGTCATGTTGCTGAGAAACATTGATACGAACCGACAACTGTGCAACGGGACGAGGTTGGTGGTCACCGAACTGCGGCCACACAACTTCAAGGCGAGGAGGTTGTCCGGCGCCGATGACGCGCAGGACTACATAATTTTACCCGCCACTTCGATTATTTCCGGTGAGGAAGACAATTTGCCTTTTCGAATGAGGCGGATTCAATTCCCAGTACGGTTGTCGTTTGCCATGACAATCAACAAATCTCAGGGTCAAACGTTTGACCGAGTCGGTTTGCTCCTGCCGTCTCCCGTCTTCAGCCACGGGCAGCTGTACGTTGCATTTTCAAGAGTAAGGGATGCGCAATCCGTCAGAGTCGGCATGTACTGCGATGGAAATGGTCGATTCGTCACCAAGAATATCGTGTACGCAGAAGTTCTCTGATGCGATTACGGGTAGTTATATAGTTAATGTAATTATACAATGTTCACCCGAGGGATCTATGTAACCTCCCCCGGGGCCTTTGTGACCCCCCCCCCCACCCCCGGGGCCTTTGTGACCCCCCCACGGTGCCTTTGTGACACCCCGGGGTCCTTTGTGAACCCCCCACGGTGTCTTTGTGACTCTGTGCGGAGAGAAAGTTTGACAACCTCCACGTGGTCTCTCTGGATGCGATTACACTTGACTGTGTATTCGTAACTAATGTCAAACGTTTGGTTAAATTTAAAAAAAAAATAACTTAGATACTTTTCAACACAATTAATTCAATCTATAACAATTTAAATATGATTTTATTTGATTTATTATAACAATTCATTTGTATTCAATCTGTATTCATTTTTTGGTAACTTATATTATATTCATAATCACTAATATCTATTAAAATTTAGAAAAAAAAAAGCTAAGGGACTTAGGATTTTGTTTTTATTCATTATATAATAATAAATAACTGTTAAACACAATTTAATATGTACAGTTTTTTTAAATATGTAATGTTAGTAACAATTTAAATATGATTTTATTTGATTTATATTATAACAATTCATTTGTATTCAATCTGTACTCATTTTTTGGTAACTTATATTATATCATAATAACTAATATCAATTAAAATTTAGAAAAAAAAAATCTAAGGGATTTAGGATTTTGTTTTTATTCATTATATAATAATAAATAACTGTTAAACACAATTCAATATGTACAGTTCTATAAATATGTAATGTAGTAACAATTTAAATATGATTTTGTTTGATTTGTAACAATTAATTTGTATTCAAACTGTTTTTATTTTTTATAAATTATATAATATATATATATATATATATACTACTAAGTACTAACTAATGTCAAATGTTTGGTTAAAATTTAGAAAAAAAATAGCTTAATACATATACTTCAATATCACATTATTTTATTTGTAAAAATGTTTTGTATATGTTACGTTTGCTTTTATGAACGACTTCAAAACGCAGTTTTACATGTAATAAATAAAATTTGATAAATTTATACTATTTGAACAACTCTTTAACTCTTTTCTTTACTTACACCACTACTAAGGTATCAGTAACATTTATATGTGTCAGATTGTATTTGTCTTAACACTGTTATGACCATAGACGCAATTGATAACATTTCAAAATTTCATTGACTATTATTATGATATAGGTATTTAAGGTACAATTAAGTTGTAGGAAAAGATGGAGGGATATCGGTGGCAGAGCCCCCCCCTGATCACTTTAGTCTATATACAACTATACATAAATCTAGCACACCCATAAATTTCACCCAAATTGCGCCTATGGTTAAGATCTATGCTATACTTACTAACATTTAGTTACAGGTTTTCACCTGTGTACATTATGGGTTTTTTTTTTTTTAATAAAAAAAAAAAAAAATATTTTCATACAGCTTTCTAGCTTTTATTATTAGATTAGATAAACTGTTGTGTGATTAATAACTTTTTGAGCACCAAAGTTTGGTTGCGATGTCCTAACGGTCAATATCACCAATACGAAACTTGATATACATTACTACATTAGCATACCTACTTCACCATTTAAGTACACATACATTAGACATATCATATACGTTCTTCTGATACTTAAGGCTAGAAACTAACATACAAATAAAAAACAAATAAATGTGAAAAAAAATGGTTTTTATTTTTTTATTCAGCTGAAAAACATAAAATAAATTAAATATAAACACAATTTGGTGTACAGTGAAGTTTCCAATTGAATACTTACAATCCCTGGTGTGACCATGGTCGGAATGATGTGAGTCCTGCAAATTACATGATTGTTAAAATCAACACACAAATAATTTAAACTTGCTTTACTTACATCATTGGTGACGCCAACGTTGGCCACCATCCCGGTGATCTCCTCAACGTTGGCGTCGTCCCTGCTTAAGGCTCTTCCACCACCACCACCTGCTCCTCGACCTCCATTTTGTCATCTGGAGCTGACGGTGATGGTGGATGTCTCACGCGGTTTGGCTTACGGGGGGCTGAAAAAATAATGATTATCAAAACAAATGATTAACAATACACATGAAATGTACACACTCACCGAGACAATCCCGGGCAAGGTGCCCGTATCGGGAACAACTATAACAACCTGGAACATAAAATGGACGATACACCTATTAGTAATGGCACTTAATCGTAATTAGTATAAATCTACTCACGTCTTTTATTGATTTTTTTTCGCGGCCCTATATTCGCGGCCTTAATCCCCCCATACCGGTTGTGGTTAGGGGGATTTCTAACTGGTTCGCTTTGCTGGTATACGGGTGCATTAAACACCCGTACACCAGCACCGGTAAATGTCATTTTCAATTTTTGTATGAATTTCATTCTACATTTCAAAAACAAAACAAATTAAAAAAAGTTACGGCACGGTTATTGAATATTGGTAGTGCGCTAACAAACACAATTATTTACTTTTAAAAAAATTAGTCATGTGCCAAAAACTTAATCAGAACACATGACATACAGTAATCATGGAATATTAGGTAAAGTTAATTCAACAAAAGCTTGAGTTTTCAAACACATAATATTCTACAGACGCGTGCACGTAGTCCAGATAAGTGGATACCCGCATAATATTATACATATTGTCTCCGTCTTACACGAATGTAGGAAAAAAAAGCCACCGAAAAAAAATCCGTGGAAAAAAAAGCCACGGGAAAAATAATCAAAGGAAAAAAAATCCACGAAAATAATAGTAATGAATGTATTGATTTTACAATGTATATTTTTATTATAAATTTAATAAATTTACTTATTTAATATTTTTAACTTCTACTTTTCTGGTGGGAAAATATTTAAATACAAATTTTATACTATGTAATAATATAACTTAATATTGGTTCATATTGCAACATGTACTTTTGAAAAAAATCACCCTGTACAAAGTATATAATAATCAAAAAAAAAGTAAAACAAGGTTTATTGAGGTATAGTATAACTTAATATTAATTATAGTTCATACTGCAACAGTGCGGCATGTAGGTACCTACATTTAAAAAAAAAATCACCCTGTACATAGTAGATACGTTAAAAATAACTAGGTGTAAGAAATAAATCAATCAATTGATCATCAAAAAAATAAAGAAATTGCCCACCTCTTTTTCCTCCTGAACAATGGAACACTCATAATTTGACGTTAGCAGATAGTGATCGTACAAATAACCAAACCGAAGGTTGGAATAACCGTTTTTCTAGACTGGTCGGCCACAAGCATCCAAGTATTTGGGTGTTAATAACTAAAATTAGGTTAGAAATTGCTTCAGAGGAAACCAAGTTGGCACAGCAAACTCTAGGATTATTAAGTGACAAAAGAAATTTACCACAATATGAAAAAAGCCAAAAAATATTGAAAAATCTCTGTTTGAAATCAAAGAAGAAAACAAAAGCTTACCAGAATTTTTGACAGCAGTAGCACACACAATACGTTTTTATTGATTTTTTTTAAAATTTTTTATTTGACTATTACCTTTATGTTTTTGTGTATTACTATAACTTGACTTTTGCATACATAATTTTTAACTGCAGTAGCACTACTTTGCATACTACTAGCATATTTTTGTATATAAACTTTGTACTATTTTACTATTTTATAACTAAAAACGTTTTAATGTTGAATAATAAATAATAACATAACCTTAGCGGCTTAGCTGTGTATAAACAATAAACATGTGTGTTAAACATTTAAAAAAAAATTATTTAAAAATTATTAATTTATAATTATTATAAAATTTGGATTTTTTTTCCGTGGCTTTTTTCCTGACTACCGTCTTACACACGTGCGCAACAATATCTATGTTCTCTAGATCGACTATTTATGATATTACAAATTTTAAGCGAGTTAGCACAGTTATAACAAATATAAGACAATGATGCACAGATAATTTTCTTACCACATGACAATTCGATAATACCTAATAGGTAAATTCACTCGAAAATTACAACAAATAGCACACTATTAAAAGAAAACCAGTAAAAGAAAATCATATTTCACCCGCGCAAATCAAATATAATATAATGAAAAAAATCAAACATAATATAATATATATATAGTTATAAAAATTAAGCTATAAAAAAGTTACGAGACGGTTATTGAACATTGGTAGTCATGTGCTAAAAAGAAAATCGGAACACACGACATACAGTAATCATAGAATATTAGGTAAAGTTAATTCAACAAAAGCTTGAGTTTTCAATCACATAATATTCTACAGCTGTGGTCCAGTTAAGAGGATACCCGCATAATATTATGTTGTCTCCGTCTTACACACGTGGGATATAGTTAATTATCGATCGACGGTTTCAATAGTGTGCTATATATTAATTTTACAGTGGACTCAACTATTATTATTATTGATTGAAAACTAATATAAGAACATAATCTGTGTCCTCTCGATCGATTTTTTACGACATCTGAATTTTTAAACGAACTATGTGTATGTGTAATGTAAAATATAATGTAAAATATAAAATAATAATGCACAGATAATTTCCTAAATAAAATAATAATGCACAGGTAATTTCCTAAAATATTTATAAAAACCAATTACGAACAGCGCACTATTTAATCTGGTCAACTAAAATTTACTACGGAATACGATTTACACTCATTCAAATACACACGTGCCGATAGCCATACATTCAAGCATCATAGACAACTAAACGAAATTATTGTATAATAAAGGGGTGTTTAAATATTGATCGAAATACAATTAAATATATTCTATAAGTATTAAAAAGTGTTTGAGAATAAATCATTTTACTCAAGCAAGTTAAACAAACATGAAAAAAAAACGGGACACAAGGCCAGTATAAGAAGGTACATATAATAAGCAATTAAATACGTTTACTTACTCGAACAGCGTCCAAATGTCAAATGAAATATGTCCAACGTTTGTCACCGATCATACAGCCTGTCCGCAAAAAATGGATTTCCCATCACTCCATTAAATTAGATGCGACATCGGTCGTATCGACAATTACCCGATAACGCGAAAGCTTCGTGTGAGAGAGATCGATAGTGACTACAGGTAGACAAACAGAGACCGTCACGATACACGCGCCTTAGATATCATCATTATTGGTCATTATAGTCCGCGACATGAAAACTGGCCCCTGTGTACCGCGACCCGTTGCTGCTTCCCCACCCGTGAGCCATTGGTTCTCAACATATGCTGCATACTGCGTGGCTGCGCCACTTGTATAATACACATTTTACAAATATAAAAAGAAACATAGTTGATTTGTTTTTTTGGGGCACCTTACCGGCTATCTACGTATTACAGCTGTCCAGACTATATAGACTAAAAAACCAGTTTTTACTGGAGTGTCTGGAAGACAGCTGCAAAACGTACTGTGGTAGGGATACAGTGATGCACATAATACATACAGAGTACAGACCCTATGACCCTCGTGTTATATCGTTTTGTCTGTTGTTCACTGTCAGTTCGTAAACAACAATTTTTTACGCTACTTTTTCTCCTCCGTAACCATTTAACGTTAGTGTATAAATTATTTAAAAATGTCGTTTGTCGATAAAGATATTCATAGCCAGAGTAAAAAAATTATTTATAGTGTGTATATATTTTTAAAACAACTGTCAGAGAAATCAGATTTAACGGCTGATTTTTTTAAAAGTGCTCAAGTCATTACAGCCCAAGCTTGTGGAATATCTCATCGTACTGTAAAACGAATTTGTGCTGAAGCAAGAAAAAGTGATGATCCAGAAACACCAGATGCGAGTCCTACGTTTATTTCTCCGCGTAAAGGACACAAACGCGCAAAAACGGTTTCAGAGCTTGATGATTTTGATTCCGATATTGTGAGGAGGACTGTCTACGAGTTTTATGACCGGGGTGAGTACCCAACTGCTCAATTAATACTCAATGCTGTAAGAAAAAAAACAAATTATACCGGGTGTGTTCGATCGATGCAAAGGCTCCTTAAAAATTTAAAATTTAGCTACAAAAAATGCAACGATGGTCGTTTGTTTTTAATGGAGAGGAACGATATCGTCGCGCTTCGGTGTAAATTTTTAAGGCAGATGAGTATGCTGCGAGAAAAAAAAGACGATCGCCCTGTTGTTTACCTCGACGAAACGTGGGTAAACCCAAATCATTCACGCACTCTTATTTGGCAAAATGAACACAATTCGATGGGTCTAAAGGTACCAACTGGAAAAGGAGGTCGGCTTATTGTATGTCACGCAGGATGTGCTCGATACGGGTTCATTGAAGGGTCGAAATTGGTGTTTCGTAGTAACAGCGGAAATACAATCGATTACCACGACCAAATGAATGGTGAAGTGTTCAAGCAGTGGTTTATTCAATTGCTGAATAACCTTGAAGAGCCATCCGTTATTGTAATGGACAATGCACCATATCATTCTGCTCTCAAAGAATCATACCCCAAAAGTAATTGGAGAAAAGCTGACGTCCAACAATGGTTAACGGATAAAAACGTTGAATTTCATCCATTAGAAACATTACCGGAACTTCGTCAAAAAGTAAAGTACCTAATGCCACGAGAAAAAAAATACGAGCTGGATGAAATCGCGTTGGAAAAGGGTCATGAGGTAATCCGTCTACCACCTTACCATTGCAAATATAATCCGATAGAGTTAATTTGGGCTCAGGTGAAGGGCGAAGTGGCGAAAAAAAACAACACATTTAAAATGGTTGACATTGAACGTCTAACATATGACGCATTGGATGCAGTGACAGTAGATGATTGGAAGAAATGCGTCCGTCATGCAGAAGAAATTCAAATTGAAGACAACAAAAAAGAAATTATGCGAGACACCATGATCGAACCGATAATTCTAACCATACTTCCGAATGACAGTGACTGGAGTGACGACGACGATCAAGATGATGACGAAGGAAACAGAGAATAAAATATTTGTATTATTTGTATTATTTGTTTTAATTTTTTAATGTTTTTTGTTTGGTTTGAATATACAAATTATTGGTTTATAAAATATTGTAAGTATTTTCAGTAAATTAATTATTAATTCAAAAAAACGCGGCAATATGTTTAGTTACGTTACGCACCACTGAGGCGAAACGGCCGCTAGGTTCGTGGCGGGCAGGGGCCACTTTTCCTGTCGCGGACTATAGTCATTACACACCGTTCGACCGAATTATACGTTTTTACGCTGACATAATTTTTCCCTTCAGAAATTATTATGTTAACAATATCATACTTATGAATACACCTATAGACATACTAATTTTTTAACGTATACGAAAGGTATAACCGCGTACGATCCATATTATATTTGTTAACGATGGCTGTAACATTTA